ACACTTACAGAGACAATGTCCAGGACAGGTGCGTTGTCGCCATATGGGCAGGTGGATATGTACACTGAAAACCCCACACCCACCCTTATCTTAATCAAATGCAGGCACTCTAAGATATGGGTCAATATGTCCACAGCTTTATTAAATAATAAAATAATTATAATAATAACTTCAAAATATATTAACTGAAACAAGTAAAGTCATTGCCCGCCCCCACTAAACCATGCATCAACAATACATATCCCATATATCATAAATAAGGCAATGACTCATATTGTAAACATTATTATAACATTATAATGACACATAGATATATACACAACTCAACATAAATATGCACAAATAAAGTGTAACACAAATCAATCGCCTACTGGTAATGGTAAACCCGGACACCCCTATCACACCAAGGTTCTGAGCCACCGACGGGCTTGAAACCCACTAACATAACACCAACATTGTAACCAACCAACTTGTAACCAATCAACCAACGTCCTTAACTCTTCTGTAACTAACCAGACACCCTTTTCGCCCTAGCCTTCCCCTCACTAAACTTGCCGCTGTGACTAAACGAGGCCATAAACCAAAGAGTCAACCCAAGGGAGGGAGGGAGGGATCAACACGGACGGTGAGTTGATTAATAATGATTAATAATGACAGGGATAAAATAGCCGACCTATTTATACTAGGCCGACCCCTAATCATCCTACCAATGACCACCCGTCTTTTCTTTCCCTAAGCCCACCTCCAAGCCCTGTCAAGGCCTTATTCCACTTATGCTGCTCATGTTCCATAGGGCTACAGTATTCCCCATGCCCCCAATTCAGGACCAGTGCATCCATAAGGCCACATTAGGTTGCCAGAGCAGGGGGGCCCCAGAGAAGGGGGCCGCAAAAATCCAAATCACCTACCTCTGGCTGGGTAATCTGATTTTTCTACTTACCTATCTCCCTGCAGCCTGCAGCCATCACACAGCAGCAATTGGGGGGGGCGTGACTTCAACTGCTCTTCTTCCAGACTCCCCAGCGGATGAAGAGCAGTGGAAGTCACGCCCCCTCCTCCTGTCAGGAGAGGCTGGCTGACTTCAATTGCTGCTGTGTGATGGCAGCAGGCTCCAGCTCCTGTCTCACCCCTCCTGGCCCAAGGTAAGCCTCAGGGATAAGGGATACATTTTTGTTTTTTTAATCCAATTTTTTTAATATTTTGCTGAAGTTAGTTCACCTGCCGATAGGATGCATTACTTCCGGTTCGCGGTCACTTCGTACATCGGATTGGCGTCATTGTGACGTCACTTCCAGTCCGTTATACAACTAATCTCTCTAGTGGGAAGTGCAGCAATGTCCATATTAAAAGTGGGCAAATTTGCCCTTACCTGGAGTAATGCAATGTCTACAGTGTTCTGTGGACTTAGAAACACTTAGATTAGATATTTTAAGCATAGTAAACCTGCATAATAATGAATAAACCAATATATACAAGTCAATACATATAAAACACAATGAATATAGTTACTTTATCATAATGACAAGTACTTCTGGAAATATTAAAATTAAGCAAGACAATAATATTGCTGGTAATTAAAAAATGCCTATATAATGGTAAAAATGTATTAAAAAATAATCAATTGAAAAATTATCTTATAAAAATTTATAAGGAATTAGAAAATTCAAAATCTAAATTCAAGCCATAAGGGCTTAATGTATCCAACTCAAATATCAATTTTGTTTCAATCTTGCTTAATTCTTTAAAGCTATCCTCCCCTCGCCAATTATGTTTTTTCTTTTGAATGGCCATAACACTTAAAAACTTTGGATCATTATTATGGACTTTGGAGAAGTGGACTGATACACTATGTTTTGTGTACCCCCTCTGAATATTGCCTAAGTATGCGAATTTTAAGGGTTCTGGTCGTCATCCTTAGATACTGTAAACCACACAGGCACACAACATTCTTTGAGTGACAGGTCAATACATTTCAAATTTTATACTTTTTCTTAGTGACATTCGAACAAAATTCACCCTGTTTAGATTTATAAAAATTTGTGCGTTTGTACGCTGTACATATTTTATGGGGATGAAAACCTTCAGACACATTAAACATGTTCTGTTTACGTTGGTCTTTGATGAAACTTCTAACTAGTCTATTTTTCATATTCTTTGCTCCCCTAAAGTCTATGTTGGGTTTATCTCCTAGAAATTCACTTAAGTCTTTGTCAGCCTGTAATACATGCCAATATTTCTTCATAATGTGCTTGATATGTTTAGAATCTTCATTAAAATCCAAAACAATTAAAATCCCTTTTTTGGTTATCTCTTTCTCATTATTGGTAGGTAAATCCCTTTTATAGGTAAGGAGATTATCTCTATTTAGTGGTCTAACCTCTAATTTTTGTTTTTCAAGGGTTTGAATTTTGCAATGTTTATCTATAAAATTATTAGTTAAAATATTGGCTTGGGTATCATACTGGTCGACGTCACCTGTAAAGGGTGATTTTATAGAAGGACTTCACATAATATGGCCATGCACATGATTATTTTTTTAATTATTGAATTTAAAGCTGGATTCATTACCAAAATAGGTGACATCTTGATCATTTGCTTGCATTATTTTTAATTGTAATCATATGTAATCTTGATGCTCAACTCATATAATTTTTCTCACATAATTTGCAAAATTGTCACATGTAACGTTATCAATCTAGATTGCAATTTTGAAACAATAAGGTAGTAAAAAGTTGCACAAGCTAAGCACTACAATGAAGAGCTTTTAAAGGCAGTAAATGAAGCATCTCTGAGGTTTTCCATGTATGACCCAAATGATTTTAGTAATTATTTCACTACAAGTAGTTAAGTTTATGTCTTAATGACTTCACAAATTGCACAGAAACACCATAGTGGCACTTATTAATTCGGGAATAAAATAAGATAGCCCATTGCATCTTTATTAAATATGCTAATTATTAAATTTTATGCTGTTTTATGCTTCTCAGTATTGAGAGAATTACGCATAATTTACAATATTGCTTTTATAAGCTTTTATAAGTATTCATAAAATGGATAGTTTCTATTTATGTGGCACTAACAGAAAATTATTCCTTTCGATGAGATATACAGGGCTAATTGTTATGCAAAGATTACTATACTCATAAAGAAGATTTATCAAAGTGGGAATAATATTCCACAAGCCCTGGCACAATTTTATATCTCATGAGCAGTAAATGTATCTTTTCAATCATATTATAAATGGTGTAGTATTTTTAATGAGATTTTTTTTTAATTATTTTTTTTTCCTTTCACTGTGTTATATTGGGGACTGGTGTAACTGTAGCTTAAAGTGACAATTCTAACAATACATATTTGTTTATCTGTTCAAGCCTGTATCAGTTCATCTGCAACGTAAATGACAGTGTAAAAGAAACCCACGTTGCAATGCTTTTAAATTGCATCACATAGCAAGTTAAGTAGACAGAAAAACAGATGGAGAATTTAATTGAACTATAAAATGCGTACATTAATTAAAGGAACACCCTTTGCACCATTGGAATAAAGTTGTTATGGTGCCATGAGGACTTACTTACTGTTTAACCCCAATCAGTAGCTCCAGATAAAAAAAAAGTGCTTGAGAACAATATTTATGTTGTCATGTGGTTTTGTGAATGGGCAGCTCCTGATTGGCTTAGAGTGTCAGCTGTCAGTCAGTCAGTGGCACCTCTGTCCAAGGCTATAAAATCTTACACCATGTAAAAACTTATATAAATAATGACCCCAGACATTTTCCAATATAGTTGCAGGAGGAAAGAGTTGATCCGAATAACAATACTTGAAAATACAATTAAATATAAAGTAGTTAGTCCGAAGAACATTTTTAAAAAATATTCTGAAGGATATAATTGGGTTGTAGTTTCTAAAAGATAGAGATGAATAGAAAAGACGGTTTTAGGAAGGAAGAAGAAACAGAAAAAGGAGCAACTAGTGGTTTTATTTATTTATTTTTTTAAATGCTTGAAATGTGTTTAAGAAAAAATGGAGGAATTATACTCATGGTCTCCTAGCACTATATTCACTACAATAAACTGCAGCAGATATTATTGGTATTTATATAGCGCCAGCTTATTCCACAGCGCTTTACAATAAAAGGAGAATTTACCAAATGAGACAATAACAAAATGTAACAGGAACAATAGTTAGGTTGAGGACCCTGCTCAAACGAGCTTACAATTTAGAGGTAATGCTTGGAATCTCCCTTGCAAGCGATACTATAAATGCAGGAATACAAAGCTGTATTCCTGACACTATTGATCTCTTTGCCTCCCCCCATTCCTCGCACTCTTCTCCCCCCCCATCATTGTGAATAAATGGATAAAAAACCTTTGTTTACTTACCTAACCCCAGTGCAGATATCCCACGGCGAAGTAGCGCGGCTCCTCCTCCGACGATGTCCCTCGCGCATCAGGCCCTTCCCATAGGAAAGCATTGAATCAATGCATTCCTATGTGGAAAAATCTGATGCTGGATGTCCTCATGCAGAGCCTGAGGACGTCCAGTGTCAGTTACCAGACCAAAGGTCCATTAGGATCTAGGAAGCGCCTCCTTTGGCTGTCTATGAGACAGCCACTGGAGGCAGATTTAGTGCTGCAATGTTTCTCTGGAACTGCAATGTTTAACCCCTTAAGGACACAACTTCTGGAATAAAAGGGAATTATGACAGAATATTTCCCTCATGTGTCGTTAAGGGATCAACATTGTAGCACTAAGTGCAATAGGGACCACTTCAGTAAGCTAGAAAATTGCATCCAAGTAAGGTAATACATTAGCTATTACATTGTAATAGTGATAAAAGGTTTCTATCTGTGTGCATCATTTCTACCAATTCACATGTCAACAATATCACGAATATTTGCATTAAAAAATATTGCATAAATATGTTTGTCAAGAGTAGATATCTTATCACACTACAATTTTTTTTTACTAAATTTTTATTGAAAATTTCTAGATAAAAGTACATTCACTTGAGACATACAATAATAAATCAACTTTGAAACCAAGGAAGAAAAGAGATATTTGAAGATATGTATAACATACAGTAGGACAATAAGTTTAATTAAAGATGCTATTTGAGCATCACATTTATAACATTCCAATTAATCATTTTTTATGTGTACCTTCAATCCCACCAAAGTTCCTGTGCACCTTATAAAACAATTAGAGACATTGGGATTGGTTTAGAACATAGCTAAAACAATAACAGCAGTATAAGAACAAAGGTGAGAATATTTCATGTGTCTTGCATTTCATTTCGAAGGAGAAAGTTAATGTTGAAATCAAGACTTTTTCAGTACATGAGAAAACCCAGCCACCAAGATTTGGAACGGGGGGATTTGGGCTCTAGGTGACCAGCAAGTTGGTACTTAAAGGGTTACTGGACACATCATAACCACTAAATTCGCTATAGTGGGTATTATGTTAGGAGTGCACTGGCACGGTTCTCCCGTAGGTGGGTAAACGTTTACATTGTGAAATATAAAATATCTAAGTAGGTGGAACATTTCTTACTGAAACATTGCACATACAGGGTACTTGCACTATGACCACTTCAAACCTCTGTTAACTCAAAAGTCTTAACGTTAAGCTACTTATTATGGAGCAGAGGCAAAACATGTATTAAGCAGCTAACTTATCAAAGCATTTATGTCTCCGTGTGTTGAGATAACGGAACTTTATTTACAAATACAAAGGAGACCTCTCTAAATAGGACTTCTGCATAGTCCAGAGGTAGTAAAAATGAATCCAGTTCCAATGGGTGATACTCCTACGCTTTGGCCCTGATGAAGTTGTAACCTGACTGAGATGTCTGTACAGGCATGTTCAACCTGTTAATAAGAGAGAAGTTTTCATGATCTCTGTCTTGTCCAGGTTGTGTGTGTGATAGTTCAATCCTCTCCATATTGTAATTTCTGACTGATGTTTCATCTGTAGTCATGGTCAGATCAGATGCTAAGGGAAATTTGAGTGTCTCTGATGAGGTCTCCCAAGCGACTGACAGACAATAAACAATATTGGCTGAAACATAAATTTGGATGCCCCAACCTGGTGGGCATTTTCCCATGGCAAACAACCTGCTACAACCTGCCATATAATGTCCAAAAGAAAGAATGAGATCATGGGTCAAGTCTGTCACACTGTAAAAATGATATCTGTCCTATGTGTAGAGAGAACCATAGTGTTATATACTATTTCAAAGCTGCATAAGAATAAAGGTCGAAGACTATATTTCCAATTTTAAAATTCCCATGACTCTTTATGAGTTCTCTGTATGTATGTTCCTGTTAGTATTCCTCCCTTCACAGTAAGTGTGTTGCCTCTGAAAATATAGGAAGGATGCTGAGTTCCTATAGGTTATCAGTGCGCTAGAGGCCTGGATGAGATCAACTGTGCATCAAAGTTCCTAGCACCGTGTGGTTCTCAGGTAAGCTAATTAATACATGTGTATCAATGATGTCAAAAACAACTCCTATCCAACAAGGCCAGAACAAATTAGCATTCCCGGTCTCTTGAATAAGCCAGAGAAGAAAAGACTTTGATGCCCGGAATTAGCATCTATCTTGAAGAATTCTGATGAATAGAAAAATTGCATACAAAATATCTTTTTACGTCAAAGACCACTTTGGGATATACATTTTGTTGGCGTCCAAGAAGATTCTTTACAAATCCCAATCAGTATTAAGAACATTTTCTGTTTGCATTACTCCTGCAGATTTAGGGATTTGTTGGATGGATCGGATTTATAAATCTTTTTTAGACTGTGGTGATTGGTTATTCCTTTGGACTCCTATTACAGAGAGAAGAGGAGCAACATTTTTAATGCTGGCATATTTTTAAAAACATCAAGTGGAACATGCTCAGTCTTAAACTAATCTAAACACAAAAGCAAAACAGTGAAAAACCAATATGATATAGTTCACATATTATAACACTGTCTGATGCAGGAAGGATTGGAGATCAGCTCTCTCTTCTTTCTTTAAAGGACACTTTGGGCACCATCCCACTAGATGCCTGCAGTCTATCTCCTCTCTGCTGCTTGAGCAGTGATGGGTGTCTGATCGGCTGAAAATATCAGTTGAGTGCTCTCAGCCTTTCACAGCTAATATGAGTTGGCATGCCTAAAACAATCAAAAATGGTTTAACAATGAACCAAGTGATGGACGCCAGGGGACTTCAGGATCCATAGCCACTTTATTTCATTGACATGGTTGTGGTTCCTGAGATGTCCCTTTAGGTGATGAGGAATAATATAACATTATAGACATTCCTGGGACTCCTCACAAAAAAAAGCAGAACACTACCATAGCTATAGCACTCCCCTCCCCAAGCCAATATGCAGTGGACAAAGAATACAATATAAATTTGAATTTGAAAAAAAAAAAACAGAATCCCCTTTTAATCATGGAGGTTAAACAAATACCCATGGAGTGCATTTATAATTTAGCACTTTGTTACATTTCAGGTAATGTCCTACCTACCTGTTGCCCCTCTGCTCCTCTTTCTTCTCCGTAAAATCACCACCACTCCCACAATGATGCATATTATGAAGACATAAAGAGACATGCCAATTCCTGAGCTTTCATTCATTTGTACATCGTCTGAAATAAAATGCAAATATATTGTTTAGCATTTTCCTTATAGTTCCTATTATCATCCATTCACTCTTAAATTAATAACTGGATATAGTTTGTCCAGATTTTGGCAGTATCCCATTAAAGAGAAATGGGAAATGTCTAAATCATGGACTGTTAGTTGAGCTAGATTGGATACCTCTGGTCTGGAGAAATGTGTCTGAGAACCATATTAGAAAGCAGAAAGAGTGTTGAGTTTTTGAAAGACCAATTGGCAAAGCTTGATAAAGTCCCGATGAGGTCAAAACGTTGCGGTTTTTGCCCCAATAAAGCTACTATTTCCGTTATCCCAGAGTGCCTGAACAGTTATTTATTCTTCATATCATCAATCTTTATGTGAACTTAGCATTGGCGTTAAAAATACGTTCTAATAACTGCATTATTCTTAGTAATAGACTCAGAGATTCATTACAGACCGAACTGCAACTTGCAGAAATTCAGGCTGATTGGGTGTTCGGCAGAATTCCTGAATACCGATCACAAATATTAAATTACGGACTGAAAGAAACACTCAATGCCAAAATATGTGGGGGTGGGGAGAGTCAATATTCTAAAAAAAAAGAAACTGGTTATTGGGAAATAAAGATAATTGATGGCTTGCGGACAGTCACTAAGTGATGATTTTATTCACAGATCAAGCGAGAAATGAGCAATAGTGGAAAAACTGAACGAACAGTAAAAATTCTATATTTATATATCATATATTTAATAAAAGTACAATATATCAATGTTGAATTGTTTTACTGCTTATGTTTTCCCTATATTGGTTACTCTTTTTCGGTTAATTGGTCAACCAAACAGTGGAAAAATGCTCCTACCAAATTACTGAGAAATATAATGTTATATGATTTATGTATTTTGCAGCACACTTATAGACCCAGTTTCGCACCTTTCAGGTTTTCTCTTTGGTTCCGGTTTGTGAACCGACATCTGACTGAATTGTGGAAAAATTATTCTGCAGCATCAAAATTTCGCTGCGTGCACAAGTCTTTTTGGTAATAAAAATAAAAACAAATACGAAAATGTCAGATATCAGCTTTTAAGACATATCTTACCTGATCTGGAGTCAGGTCTATGAATTTCCTGGACAAGGAGGTCTATAGAGCAAGTCTTCCTTCCATCAAAATTGCGCAAGAATACAGTGCATGTATATTTCCCAGCATCTGATGCGTGCACATTTTTTAATAAAAGGGACACATTTCCATTGGGAATTTCTTTATGGAACAGGTCTGTCCTTCCTTCATATGATGGGTGCTTCTCTTGATTTTTTCCGTAGTAAAACTTATGGGCGTTAATTGTTCCACGGTGCCATAAGATAGATATGCGTTCTTTTGAAAATGGCTCAGTATATGTGACAATGCAGGGAAGAATTACATTTTCATTTAAAACTCCTGTGACACGTTCAGGATAGCTGACTGGAAAACCAAAGAATGTAAGTTCTTATAATGGAATTCTACCAGACAAAATGCAAGAATCTCCAATCAACAAAAATATGTAACTTAATAAAGCAGGTTTGGTGTTTAGATCATGCCCCTGCTGTCTCACTGCTCAACTTTCTGCCATTTAGCAATTAACTCACTTTGTTTAGGCTACCCTAGTGGCACCTCTGCTGGCTAAGGCTCACACAGCCTCCATGAAAAAAAAAAAGTTTAATTTTCTTATCAGACCACATAACACAGACTTGTGCAAAAAAATGGTTTGGTTCAATTCATCCAAATCAAATTCATTCTAATCCATACATGAACAGATCTACCTGTGGAGCCTTATTCATTAAACAAGACTTCACAGGTAAATCTCTGACAAATTGATTTGTTCGGACATGGGTTTAATGTAATCTGATTCAGCCAAACCGTTTGTTGTAACACAGTGTGTTTACTTTAGAAGTTCTCATCTCCTGATCTGTTAATTGAACTTTAATGACACACATGAAGCTTATGAAGGCTAATGATGAGGATTACATCTCCCATAATTTTCTTACAGCTATAATGCTCTCAATGCACCTTGGGAGATGTAGTGATCACAACATCCGGAGTGTTAAAAGTTCCATGTTCTAAACTAAACATACTGTGCAATAGGGGAAGCAAAAAAAAAAATGGGTTATTTTTCAAGAAGTATGTCAGGACATTATGTGAGTTACAGTCAGGGGAGGTGTGAATAGGGCTGCATAAACAAAGTATGGTAATTTAACTCAAATGGCAGAGAATTGAGCATTGAGACAGGAGGGGCATGAACGTTGAACCAAAACCTCTTCATTATGCTAAAGTTGTTTTGGGTGTTCCTATAATTTAGCAACCCTGGCTTCCAAATGAAATATTGCTTAGAATATTCAGAGTCACATATATAGAGTTAAAAAGATCTGTCATGAAAAAACAAAAGTACATTTACAAGGTTATTCACTAAAATGTGAACAGTCAGGAATTCAAAATTAATTTCAAATGCTAAGCAAAAATAGACAAATTGTAAAAACTATTAAAATCAAGGATTCCCAATAGTGCCAACTAGTTTAAAGGAACACTCCAGTGCACTGTAGTGGTTATAGTGCCAGGAGTACTCTGACGCACTTTCTCCCATTGTAAGGAGCTAAACAGTTTTAGAATGGTACAGGGCTTAGCTTATTTCGTGGATAGCAATCAGTAGGCACTCTGTGCCAAAGCACTACCTATGTACTAAAAGGCAGTGGACAGGGATTGCTGGGGTCACAAGTGTGACTGTGTGTCTGGACAGGATCCACACTGGACCCCTGGGAAATAATTCATTCCAGCTTTCCCAAAGGTAAGGAGGCTGGGTGAACTTAAATTGAAAAATATATATAACATCTAGGTGTGTGAGAGAATGTATGTGTGTCTATCAGTGAGTGTGTGTGTCTGTCAGTGATGTGTGTGCATGTCAGTGTGTCTGTCAATGAGTGTATGTCAGTGAATGTGTGTGTGTCTGTCAGTGTGTGTCAAATCAGTGAGAGTGTGTGTCTGTCAATGAGTGCGTGTGTCTGTTAATGAATGTGTGTGTCAGTCAGAGTGTGTCAAATATGTGAGGGTGTGTGCATGTCAGTGAGTGTCAGTGTACGTGTATCTGAGAGTGTGTGTCTGTCAGCGAGTTGGTATGTCAGTGTGTGTTTGTCAATGAAAGTTTGTGTTGGTTAAACAGTGCGAGTGTGCCAATGAGTGCGTATATGGGTCAGTGTGAGTGAGTGTCCCTCCCCTAGCTGTCAATTAATTCCTCAGTATTAGACATGTGTGCCAGTGGAACACAGGATATAAAGCCACAGATTGAGTGACAGACAGTCCTCTTGTTCCTTGTCACTCTAATACTCCCCCAGCAGGCCTTTGCTGAGAGAATATGGGCAGGGACGGTGCAAGGATTTTTTCCCGCCCATTCGCTCAACCCACTCATACAGTCTGATACACGCAGACCCAAGCAGACTAACTCTGACACACCCATGCAGACTGACACACGCACTAACCCATGCAGAGTGACTCACGCACATACTGACCCCCCATACCGACACACTGACCCATGCAGACACACAAATACAAGCACACAAACTGACCCATGCAGACACACTGACCCCATACAGACACAGACAGATCCATACCAACACACACTGAACCCTACAGACACAGACAGATTCATACAGACACACACACACACACACACACACACAATGACCCACTCTGACCCAGACAGACACACAATGACCCATACAAACACACTGACCCTTACATTAACCCTCTTACCTTAATTTCAAATATCAGTGCTGTTCATGTGCTTCTGGCATCTTCAGTGCGCCTAGTTGCCTGGCAGGGAATCATTCTCCTTGTCTTATCCCCACTGCTTTGCTCCCAACCATTTCTCCTCACTTTCAGGGTAAGGGGCGGGAGCAAGCTAATAATGCGCCCTCGCGCTACCGCCGCAATGGATGTCTGGGAGGAGGCCAGGCATTGCGAGCTGATGTAAATCATGGATCCCGCCGGACAGGGCCGGAATGGGGATACAAAGCAGCCCTGGAAAAAAAATTTGTGCCAGACCCATAAGTCACTGCGCCATATATAGTCGCTTGTAATATGTAAGGCTATGTCTTGCCAGGACAGATGATTGAGTAATATATATATATCCGGTACTTTTTGTTATTTTATACTATTGAGCTACCAGAGCACCGGGTCATTTTTTGATTATTGTTAGGTTGGAGTGCAGGAGCTTACTATATATATATATATATATTGCTTTTTCTAATATAAAATATTGGTCCTTTCAGGGTAAAACGTTTAATTATACAGTAAGCAGACACAGGCAATTTCACTGACATCTCAATGACACACACAAGCTGATTGATACACAGCCTCATAGACAAACAATCTTACTGATATACATCAGCTCATTGACATAAAAACACAAGCTCACTCACTAGCAGGCACACGCATGCAAGCAAGCTTACTCACTAGCAGACACACACACACAGCTTAATGTGGTGGTACTGGTGTCTATAGCATGTCCCTTCAGGCTTTTCAACGTAAACACTGACTTTTCAGAGAAAAGGCAGTGTTTACATTGCTTCAAAGTGACACTGCTAGTGACAGTCACTCAGACGGTCACTAGAGGTGCTTCCTGTGTTAGTGCACCTACATTCAGGGCCTCCACGCTGAACGTTCCCCATAGAGATACATTGATTCAATGCATCTCTATGAGGAGATGCTGATTGGAGTGGCATTTTTCAGGGACTTGTCCTGGCGGCCGCTGGGGGAGCTGCGCTGGCTCTGCTCTCCCGCCATTGCGCGCTGCTGAATGAGACCGGCGCCGGACTATGACGTCATATTCCAGCACCGGTCTTATTCAGCTGCGTGCTGGGGAGCAGAGCCAGTGCAGCTCCCCCAGCGGCCGACAGGACAAGTCCCCCAGCAGCCGTCAGAAGCCCCCAGAAGACCTCCCAAGCGGCCGCCAGCAGACCCAGGTGTCTGCCCGGCTCCAGGTGCCGACGGCCCACCAGGAAATTTCCCGGTATCCCGGTGGGCCGTCGGCACCTGGGGCCGGGCAGGCAGCTGGCTCTTCTGGCAGCCGCAGAGGGAGCTCTTTTGGCGGCCGCAGGGGGAGCTGGCTGTTCTGTCTCTGCTCCCTGGCCCTCGCGCACTAGAAAGAGACCGGGGCCGGAACATGACGTCATATTCCGGCCCCGGTCTCATTAAGCTGTGTGCTGGGGCGGGGGAGCAGAGAGAGAACAGCCAGCTCCCCCTGCTGCCGCATAAAGAGCTCCCTCTGCGGCCGCCAGAAGAGCCTGCTCCCCCATGCAGCCGCCATCAGACTGAGCTCCCCATGCAGCCACCAGCACACAGGTAGAAATTATGAGTGTCAGTGTGAGTGTATGTGTGTGTGTCTGTGTCATTGTGTGTGTGTCTCTGTCTGTCATGGTGTGTGTGTGTCTGTGTCATGTTGTGTGTGTGTCTGTGTCATTGTGTGTGTTTCTGTGTCATTGTGTGTGTGTCTCTGTCTGTCATGGTGTGTCTGTTTGTCTGTATCATGGTGTGTGTGTCTGTCTGTGTCATGGTGTGTGTGTGTTTGTCTGTGTCATGGTATGTGTGTGTCTGTCTGTGTCATTGTGTGTTTCTGTCTGTGCCATTGTGTGTGTGTCTCTGTCTGTCATGGTGTGTCTGTCTGTGTCATGGTGTGTGTGTGTGTGTGTGTCATGGTGTGTGTGTGTGTGTGTGTCATGGTGTGTGTGTGTGTGTGTGTGTCTCTGTCTGCCATGGTGTGTGTGTGTGTCTGACTGTGTCATGCAATGTGTGTCTGTGTCATTGTGTGTGTCTGTCTGTGTCATGGTGTGTGGGTGTGTGTCTCTGTCTGTCATGGTGTATGTGTCTGTCTGTGTCATGCAATGTGTGTCTGTGTCATTGTGTGTGTGTGTGTGTGTCTGTCATGTAATGTGTGTCTGTCTGTGTCACGGTCTGTCTGTGTCATGGTGTGTGTGTTTGTCATGGTGTGTGTGTCTGTCTGTGTCATGTAATGTGTGTCTGTCTGTGTCACGGTGTGTGTCTGTCTGTGTCATGGTGTGTGTGTGTCTGTGTCACGGTCTCTCTGTGTCGTGGTGTGTGTGTGTCTGTGTGTCATGGTGTGTGTGTCTGTGCCACAGTGTTTGTGTGTTTGTGTCACGGTCTGTGTGTTATGGTGTGTGTGTATCAAGGTGTGTGTGTGTCTATTTTAAGGTGTGTGTCTGTCATGGTATGTGTGTGTCTGTCTGTGTCATGGTGTGTATGTCTGTCATGGTGTGTCTGTGTTTCTGTCTGTGTCATGGTGTGTGTGTGTCTGTTTCACGGTCTGTCTGTGTCATGGTGTGTGTCTGTCATGGTATGTGTGTGTGTGTGTGTGTTTTTACTCACCTTTTTTTTCCCCACGTTTGTGCTGGTCTCCCCTCGACTGGCCCTGCCTCTATGGCTGAGATCATCAAACTTGATGAACTCAGCCAATCTGCACTGACACAGGAAGCACCTCTAGTGACCGTCTGAGTGTCTGTCACTAGGAAGCAATGTAAACACTGCCTTTTCTCTAAAAAGTCAGTGTTTACATTGAAAAGCCTGCAGGGACAGGCTATAGACACCAGAACCACTACATTGTGTGTGTGCGCCTGCTAGTGAGTGAGCTTGCTTGAATGTGTGTTTGTGTGCCTGCTAGTGAGTGAGCTTGTGTTTTTTATGTCAATGAGCTTATGTATTTCAGTGAGATTGATTGTCTATGAGGCTGTGTATCAATCAGCTTGTGTCAGTGAGATTGTCTGTGTCTGCATGTGAGTATGCTTATTGTATAATTAAAATTTTTACTCTGAAAGGACCAATATTTTATATTGGAAAAAGATATATATATATATATATATATATATATAAAAATCATCTAGGGTGGCAAGACATAGCCTTACATATTACATGCGACAATATATGGCGCAATGACTTATGGGGCTGGCATAGATTTTTTTTCCAGGGCTGCTTTGGAATCCCCAGTCCGGCCCTGCTCCCTAGTGTCCGGTAACATGGTTGGCGGCCGCACTAAATTAATACAGCTCGATAGGGAGGGCAGTAAAGCAACTACCTGCGCTCACCCTTAAGCGGCGCCCCAGGCGGCCACCTAATGGGCCTATAGGAAGTGCCGGCCCTGAATATGGGATGCACTGATGACAGTGTGCTGGTTATGAAGCCAACATGTTAGAATCAACATGGGGGATTGCCATGCTTAGGGAAGTGACCCCAAGCAGGACCAATCACACCACACTCACAGACAGCCAAAGCCCATAAACCATCACACTTAACCAGCCACACATAAACACAATCACACTCGTTCAACTGCATAGATGCATATCACACTCAGCCAACCAACACGGACTCATGCAAGCCACACAAAGAATTACTTAAGTAAGCCAACTACAGCCCAATCACACTTAGCCATCATACACATCCCACTCAAGTGTACTGCTTGTATTAACCCTGTTAGCCCAGCGGGAGTGGGATCCTGAGGCTGGGGGGACCTAAAAACCCTATAGTCCAGGAAAACGGTTAGTTGTCCTTTAAATAGATTTTTTTTTTCCCCAATCTCCAGCAGGGCAAGCACCATTTAAGTCAATAATAGTCTTATCTTTGCAAAGGTTAAAGTATGATGTATATTTTCCAATGATAGACAGATATATCTATTATAGTTTATAATTCTATTTTCATTTTACCTGAGATCAATGTGGAGGTCAGTAGACTAAGTATTAAAACAAAATGCATTCTCTTCTGTATTCAAAGACCTTCCCTGTGTCTGTAAGAATCAAACAGAATAGTTAAACAGAGTTTGCAGCAACATTTTACTCATTCACATAAATGAAACGCTTGTAAAAAAAAAATAGGTAGAGATAGTGATAATTAGACAGATAGACAATATATAAATACAATAGCCTAAAGGTGGACATTGCTATATATAAAGTTCAATAGTACATATTTACCAATAATCATAATATCTGCAGATCACTATTACAAAGAATTTCAATTTTAAAATAAAGATTGCACTATTGCAAAACACATCTGCAGAAATAAATTTAAAAATGCAGTATTGATATACATGTATTTTAAAATGACTAATCTAATTGTTTTATCCATTTTTTTTCAATTGCTCACAACACAGGGATTTTAACCCTTATGAGGAGAGCAATATGATTGGTCATAATAAACAAGTCAATCAAACTGGCCTTTTACAATACAAGGGTATAAATCCTCTGTATGTATTAGGATATTTTTCACTTTTCAGGATGCCTATTTCTACGGGCAGAAAATGAAGATTCATGGGCACTGGTTGACAATAAGTTGAGTATTATTCTTGTTTATAGGTCATTGCTAAGGTAGATCCCTGCTAGGCCCGGATTGGTGGGAGTAAGTACATTTTAATAATGTTGTGAGGACTGGGCATACCCTAGCTCAAAATTTTGTGGCATTTTAAAAAGCCAGGGGACTGGGCACCCCTTGGCAAGTTATCATTAATCTATCCACCATCCCAATGCCCAATGTGTGGGAAGTCACAACACAATGGATGCTGCAGCTAACCCCTTGCTGTGAGTACTCTTCTTGCATATCTCCTATTTGCTTTTATTTATTTTTATTCAAACATTAACAGTTTATTACAAGTCACAATAGTAAAATAAAAACACAAAACAAACAGAATACGAGATCCATCTGTACATTGCGTAAGGAAGCAGCTCCAATAGCTATGAGAGTCCCACTTCCTAGAGTAACTTAAAGGTCCACTATAGTGCCCGGAAAACATACTCCCGCCGAGCTGGATGGCGAGGAAAGGTTTAAATCTTACCTTTTTTCCAGTGCCGGGCGGGAAGCTCTCCTCCTCCTCTCCGCCTCCTCTTCGGCTGAATGCGCATGTGCGGCAGGAGCTGCACGCGCATTCAGCCAGTCTCATAGGAAAGCATTCATAATGCTTTCCTATGGACGCTTGCGTCTTCTCACTGTGATTTTCATAGTGAGAAGCACGCAAACGCCTCTAGCGGCTGTCAATGAGACAGCCACTAGAGGCTTTAGAGGCCGGATTAACCCATTTATAAACATAGCAGTTTATCTGAAACTGCTATGTTTATAAAAAAAAAGGGTTAATCCTAGAGGGACCAGGCACCCAGGCCACTTCATTAAGCTGAAGTGGTCTGGGTGCCTAGAGTGGTCCTTTAAGGTGAGAGATCGGTAGGTAGGGTAGGATGTTGTTCACCACCAAGGAGGTATCGCCGTCACAGGACATCACAGCAGGATGAATTTCTATTGTAGCGCAGATTGCAGTACAGATTGCAGAAGTGAAACCTAAAAGGTCCAAATTACACCTTCCGTTCAAACAAATAAGAAAATATCTTCCACTTATAAGCGGAAACAAAAGTCAGAAATCAAAAACCTAAACCAGTGTGATAAAGCTAAGAGAAAAGAATGAAAAAAAAGAAGGGGAGTAAGTCCCTATCCACTTCAGTTACTACCTATCCCATGCACTATGGTCCCTATTAAAACAGTTTTCTCTGGTGGGACAGCTGGTTCATTGAAAGCTTAACCCATGCTTTGACTTGAAAGCTACTGTTGGGTAATTCCACAAATAAAATAGAAGCAACATAGCCGACCAGATACAATGCTGTGGTAACAAGCATATTCTGCAACTCATTCTATGAGTCATTCTGGGAGTGTTGAGGAAATTGTTCAATATAATGTAGACATTATAGCACAAAAAGAATCTGAGAATATATAATCAAAATGATAACCTCATAAAGGTCAGGATTAGCAGAAGAAAGTGTATGTTTCACCAAATAAAAAGTAATATTTGATTGTGACAAAAATCTTGATAAACTGCTTTATTTTATTGGGCCTTTTTTAATTGACCTCCACTGGCAATTCTAAAGTTCACACACTATTCTGTTTTGTAAGCCTGTTCATATATAATATATCATGTTTCCTATGTAGCAGAATACGTTCGGTTAGAACATAATTACATTTTATGATATAGGGTATGAACAACATTTTGTGCAGTTTATTAATGAATTGACCAATATGCCAAAGACATTTCTTTATTTCTATATATTAGTCAAACACTCCTATATTGTCTAATGTTTCCAAACCTTTGAAATATGTAATCGTGCAATGTCTTTCTTATATTATACATAATTTATAGGTACAATAAAATACACGGGATAGATTTAGCTCACTTTGGTGAATGAACTACAACATGAAAGCAAGTTTTTTATACTATGATTACAAACATAAAACAATTAAGCAGTTTAACCATTCTTCAGATTCATAGGACACATTCCTCGGATACAGTTTAAAAGCCTGTGATTGACAGAATTTGTTCACACTAATAAATAGACTGTACACAAAAGTACAATAGAATACACTCTATTAATCAAAATGGAAAACATCATATTTCCATTTAATTTATTTTCATAATTTTTTCTTTTGCTTTTTTAGTACATTGGGATACAAGAATTTGTTATTTCCATATTATCTTTAACAGCATAATGAGAATACTGCAGTAGGTGAGTATACCAGGCTAAGGGGAGTTGATGATCTGCTGGGTGTGTTATGACGCCTTGCGTCGCTAAATCCCACCTTTTGCAGGATGGCATAGTATGCCCACAATCCTTAAGTGGTTAAATCACTATGATTGGCATTGCATGCCGTGACATCATTTACAGCCACTACCTCCCCATATTTAACAGCCCAAATCCGACTTAGACACTACAGTCACTCCTGCGTACCCCTGCGACCGGGTGCCTGCCGCCATATGTTGCGGCCCCGGCAGCGCAGTGTAATTGCCAGGGCCGCAGGTGAAGGGTCCATCGGGTGGCTCATGCTGTTAGGGCCACCCGATGGAAATGAATATCAACAGAGTGGGCCCGGTAACAGCGCGACCGAGCCCACTCTGACGATGTCAGATGCTGGGAGGAAGTGACTGCCACGGTCACTCCTCCCAGCAACCACCAGGAGCCACGTGGGAGGAAGCAGAGGGAGTCAGAGTGGGAACTCTGACTCCCATCAACCTGAGCCACTGGATGCCAGGGAAGTCACCCTCCTGCACCTAAAAGATAGGTAATAGGAGGGTGACTAAAATATTTTGCATGTGTGTGTGTTAGTGTATGTGTGTGTGTGTCTCTGCATGTGTGTCTGTATGTGTGTGTGTGTGTATATGTGTGTAAGTGTGTCTATGTATGTGTCTGTGTTTATCTGTGTATGTATGTGTCTGTGTGTCTGTATGTATGTGTGTCTTTGTATTTATGTGTTTATGTGTGTCTGTATGTATGTGTCTGTATGTGTGTGTCTGTATGTGTGTGTCTGTATGTGTGTGTCTGTCTATGTATATGTGTGTATGTCTCTGTGTATGTGTGTGTGTCTGTAAGTGTATGTATGTATGTATGTATGTGTGTATGTATGTGTGTATCTTAGTGTATGTCTGTATGGGGTGGCCCCATGGATCAGTTTTGCACCAGGAGCCCCGTAGATTGAGTGTGTCTAGAAGTACTATCTATATGTAATAATGCTTGAGAATGTCCACCAGTGTACGCATGAGTGTATGTTTCAAAGTGAATATGCATCTGTGCACATGGATGTGTACATATGTCTAGAAGATAATGTACAAGGGGAATGTCCAGTGATTTTGTAAAGGACCCCAACATTTCTGCTCGCAGTCTTGTATATACACAAAAAAACACACTGGAATATTAAAATGGATGCATTAAAGCATTAAAATTAAAATAAACATTTGTAGAGTACATCGTGCTACATGTATTAAATCCTCATCAGCACATCATGGTGATATAGGAAAAGGAAAGCAAACTTTTTAAAAGGCAGCACTGACTTACCTGAAACAGACTTCGTTATCACCTGCTTTTAGGAGATACCAGTGTGCAGAAGCTGCGAAAAAACACAAACATGATCTGAAGCTGCGATGCAGACTGTCAGAATGATAGAAAATGAAAGTAAATACATGACGGTCTCCTGTTCTTGTATAGAGTATCCACTTACATGTGATGCAGAAATGCAATACAAACACTCTAAGCACAACAATAACTTTGTATCACTGCAAAAGTTATAGTCCAGAGAGTATTGAGCATTTACACTTTTTCCTACCCAGGGTAGATTATAATTGCACAACACACTGCTTCTATAATGCATGCTCGCTGGAACTGATCTAGCAAAACAAGGAAGTTTATCCCTTTATAACACAGCTTCAGTTTGTTTATTTTGTAGTTAAGGACAGAAGCATTTTTTGAATTTTTTTTCTATGTGTGTTCAACCAAAAATTTAATTTTTTTCATAACTTGTATTATATATGTTTTTTTTAAAGGACAGACAGGGCTTCAATTTGATGTGAACTATGCATATATATGTTCTCATTTAAGATTAAAAAAAAAATGAAAAGCAAAAACACAAAGAACTCTTTGGGCAATAACAATGTGCCCATAATTAATGCAGGTTAAGAAAAGTAATTGAAAATTAATTTATTTGTGTTAATTTAAAAAGTACATCATAAGTCTAGGATTTCAGTATATTTTTGGTAGTTACAAGTCACAAAATACAAGAAGTTAAAGGAGCATGATAGTGCAAGGAAAACAAAATTGTTTTCCTGGCTCTATAGTGTTAATAGGTCCCCACCACCCTCACGGTCCCACTCCCGTTGGGCTAAAGGGGTTAAAAACCCTCAGCCACTTACCTTTCTGCAGCGCCGGCGCTGGTGAACTCTCCTCCCTCTGCCGACGTCGGTGCTGCATGCGCATGCGCTTCAAGAGCCGCACGTGCATTCAAACCGCCCATAGGATAGCATTTCTCAATGCTTTCCTATGGATGTCCAGTGTCTTCTCACTGTGATTTTCTCTGAAACTGCTATGTTTTCAGCTGCAGGGTTAAAACTAGAGGGACCTGGCACCCAGACCACTTCATTAAGCTGAAGTAGTCTGGGTGCCTATAGTGGTCCTTTAACCCCTTAAGGACCAAACTTCTGGAATAAAAGAATCATGACATGTCACACATGTCAAGTGTCCTTAAGGGGTTAAATAAGATATCAATGTGGAGCAATTTTAGACTTTGGTGTGTTTGTCTTCTAATTTAATAGACATTACAGAAAATACAATTGCCTCACAAGAGTATATATATATATATATATATATATATATATATAAAGTAGGCATCAAAAGCTATTTTTAAGGGTATTTTGACACTTTTATATCTGCTAAATATTGTAGTAAAATACTTTTTTTCTGTTATTTTACCAGCACATAAATAACAAGGTTTTCTTAATGTGTATTTCATAAACCTGATAGTTATATCCCTATACAAAACCACATATTGTGTTCAGCTACATCATCTGAGTACAGCAATACCCCAATGTATGCCTTTGTTACTATTCTGTAAAGCTATAGTGTTATAGAAGACACCTGACCATTTAAGTTTTTACATTTGGAATTCTGATAGATGGATTTGGAAGAAAGAATAAAATAATTTTGGAAGAAAGAAAGAAATCCAGGCACTGAGGGCCACCATTATACATTTTTAGGCCCCTAACAAAGCTCAAGGTCTGGCCCCCGTGAGTCCGCCTCCAAGCCCACCCACAGACCCGCCTCCAAGCGCACCTAGAGAGCCCGCCTCCAAGCCCACCCACAGACCCGCCTCCAAGCCCACCCGAAGACCCGCCTCCAAGTCCGCAGTGTGTGTAAAGTGGATACAGTGTATTGGATGCAGTGCGCGTAAAGTGGACACGGTGTGAGTTAGTGCATGTGTAGTGGATCCAGTGTGTGTATATTACTCCACCCCAGGGACCCAAATAACAACATAGAAAAAAAAAACTACATTTAAACTTAACTTTCCCTGGGGCTGCATGTGCTAACCCACATGTCAGAATAGTGGCTGTGCAAAGGTCTGGGTGCCAGATATACACCCCTGTCCACCATCCCCAACACTCAGTCACATATCCTCCCCCCAGCTCAGACCTAGTGGTGTGAGCGACCACAGATAACAAATTTAGTCGTGATAAAATGTCAGCATTTCCATGTTTAGAACCAGGCCTATGTTCAACTGTAAAATGAAATAGTTGCAAACTGAGCAACCACCTTGTCACCCTGGCAATATTATCTTTGTTTTGACTCATCCAGGTTAGGGGAGCATGGTCTCTGACCAACCTAAATTTGCTGCCCAGCAGATGATATTTTAGTGAGTCTAAGGCCCATTTTATGGCGGGGCATTCTTTCTCCGCTATAAAATAATTTTTCTCAGCGGGAGTCAGCTTCCTACTTAAAGTGGCACTGTCATGCCGAATCCCTTTTTTTTTTAACCCCCCTCCCGCCTCCACTACATCCAATTGACCCACTAGTCACCCCCAAATACCCTTAAGCCCCCCAGATTACCTCTTTTTAAATCTTTATTTTCTGCCCCGATCTATATTCAGGGCGCTGCCATCTTTGTGTGGGTAGGTGAAGTCCCTCAGGGACACGTCATCTGCCCACACTAGACAGACTGTGAGATTCCCGCACATGCCCAGTGAAACACCTGGACATGCGAACGGGAATTTCATCTATTCATTCATTCATCAGACAGACGAATGAATGAATAGAAATATCAGCCGAACAAACAAACACTATGTATCAGTGTATGTTTGTTCGTTCAGTTTATTACAAGGAGGGAGCTACCGGCACGCAGCTCCCTCCTTGTAATATGTAAAGATAGAAGCGGCAGGGAGCAGTGCTCCCCACCACTTCATAAGCCCCCCCAGGTCCCCCTCTCACTCTATGGGGGTCAATATGACCCCCATAATAGCACAAGGGAGATTAAAATCTCCCAAATGCCCCTACTCGCGGTATAGCCTGTGGCTGCTCACTGTTGAAAAAAAAATTACATAAATTACAATAAGGGGGGGCGGACCTATTGTCCTCCCCCCCTCCCCCACCCTGAGTGGCGGGTGGGGGCCATGAAGATAATGAGGGGGGGGACCTACTGTCCTCCCCCCCGGCCCCCACCCCTGAGCGGTGGGTGGGGGCCCTAATAAAACAATAAGGGGGGGGAACCTACTGTCCTCCCCCCTGGCCCCCACCCCTGCATGGTGGGTGGGTGGGGGCCCTTATAAAACAATAAGGGGGGTACCTACTGTCCTCCCCCCCTGCCCCCACCCCTGCGCGGTGGGTGGGGGACCTTATAAAACAATAAGGGGGGGGACCTACTGTCCTCCCCCCTGAGGGGGGGGGACCTACTGTCCTCCCCCCCTGAGGGGGGCGGACCTACTGTCCTCCCCCCTGGCCCCCACCCCTGCGCAGTGGGTGGGGGCCCTTATAAAACAATAAGGGGGGGGATCTACTGTCCTCCCCCCCTGGCCCCCACCCCTGCGTGGTGGGTGGGGGCCCTAATAAAACAATAAGGGGTGGGGGACCTACTGTCCTCCCCCCCGGCCCCACCCCTGAGCGGTGGGTGGGGGCCCTAATAAAACAATAAGGGGTGGGGGACCTACTGTCCTCCCCCCCTGGCCCCACCCCTGAGAGGTGGGTGGGGGCCCTAATAAAACAATAAGGGGGGGACCTACTGTCCTCCCTCCCCGGCCCCCACCCTTGAGCGGTGGGTGGGGGCCCTAAATAAAACACCCCCCACCAATCAAGGTGACTAGGGGTCCCAAGCCCCTAGTCACCCCCCCCCACCCAAAAAAAAACTATCCCTTACCTACCCCCCTCACCCTAAAAATAGTGAGGGGGGAATAAAATAACTAACCTGTAAAAAAAAATTTAACTTACCATTTGACGTCTTCTTTTTTCTAAAATCTTCTTTCTTCAGCCCCCAAAAAGGCCAAATAAAAATCCAGCACTTTAAAAACAAGCGCAAAAAAATTCATCCATGTTCGGCCCCTTCGAGGGCACATGTACTGAGCTCCGCTTGAAAGCCACCCAATCTGAGTGCTTGTATTTTTTACACAGCCGGGAAAGTTCTTTTGAATTTTCCCCACGCTGTGTAAAATGACTCATAACACTTGATTGGTTACTTAATCCACCAATCAGAGTGTTCTAAGCCTAATTAGGCCGGGGCAAGGCTTTATAAGCCTTGACCTCGCCCTGGAGCTCAGTACGTAGCCCTCGAAGGGCTTAACATGGCGCTCTTTTTTTTTTTTTTTTTTTTTTAATCTTCTTTCTTCAGCCCCCAAAAAGGCAAAAATAAAAATCCATCATACCCGTCGCACTTTAAAAAAAAAAGAAAAAAAAAAAGAGCGCAAAAAAAAATTAATCCATGTTCGCCCTTCGAGGGCACGCCGCGTACTGAGCTCTGCCTTGCCCCGGCCTGCAATTAGGCTTAGAACACTCTGATTGGTGGATTAAGTAACCAATCAGAGTGTTATGAGTCATTTTACACAGCGTGGGAAAATTCTAAATAACTTTCCCACGCTGTGTAAAATGACACAGAGCACTCAGATTGGGTGGCTTTCAAGTCATTTTACACAGCGTGGGCTATAAGCTGCTCACTGCTTACTACACATGCCCCTACTCGCGATATAGCGAGTAGGGGCATATTATTTACTAATACTAAGTAATTTTTACTTAGTATTAGTAAATGTGGCTGAAAGACCAGTTTAGGTCTTTCAGCCTTTTAGTAGATAACTCCCTGATACCGTGGGAATTAGGGAGTTATCTACTTAGCGGCTGCAAGATGCAGCCGTGGCAATGAATAGGATCGGAGTTTCATTCATTCGAATGAAACTCCGATCCGAACAAAGTGCCGAATTGCGTTCTAAAAGAAACGAACATACTGTTCTCATTCAGTTAGAACGCAATTCGGCATTTTCATGTAAAGTGACAGGAAGCATCGCGGGAACACAGAGGAAAGGTGAGAATTGTGGGAAAATTGCTCTGACCAGCGGAAATGAAGCACACTTTGCTCCTCCGCTGGTCAGAGCTGGTCAAGCGGAGGAATCCTCCATAAGGCAAAGAGTCCCTACTTTGTCTTATGATTTTAAAGAAAACTAAAGAAGACAGGAAGAAAAGAATAACAGATCCTGAGAGAGGGGGAGAAGAGGAAGAGATTGAGGAAAGGTAAGTTCGGCATGACAGTGCCGCTTTAAATAAAACACTGGGTGTTCTTCACCCTGAATTTCCTGAGACAGAACCGCCTCTAACCCAATCTCTGATGCATCGGTTTGCACAATAAACTCTTTAGCGAAATCCGGGGTTACGGGAACTGGTTGGGTGCCCAAAGCCTAGTTCAAATTTACAAACGATTTTTCTGTCTCAAATCACCACTTCCCCAATAGTGGGGCTTTTCCTTTTGTGAGATCAGTTAAAGGAGCTGCTAATGTAGCAAAATCAGGAAATAATCGCCTGTAGTACCCAATAAGTCCTAAGAAAGTCCTGACTTGTTTTTTAGTGAGTGGGCGTGGCATATAGAATTTCCAAAGGAGAGAAACCCGTAGAAGCTTGTGGCACCTCCCTTATAGAGAACATTAGATAGGGTAGTAAGCAATCCCAATTCTTACCGTCCTTGTCAATTACTTTCCTTAACATACTTTTTGTGGTCTTGTTGAACCGTTCTACCAGTCCGTCTGTCTGGGGATGATAAACAGAGGTCCAAAGATGTTTAATTTGAAGTAGTTTGCATAACTCCTTCGTAACTTTAGAAATAAATGGTGTACCCTGATCTGTCAAAATTTCTTTTGGTATGCCCAGCCGGCTACACGAGCATGAGTTCTTTCACTATTGTTTTCGCAGATGTGTTACGTAGAGGTACTGCTTCCGGGTACTTAGTAGCATAATCCAAAACCACCAATATATATTGATGCCCCCTTGCAGACTTTACCAGAAGACCTACCAGGTCCATTGCAATTCTCTCAAAAGGTATTTCTATTATAGGCAATGGTACCAGAGGTCTGCGGTATGCCTTAAAAGGGGCGGTTTGCTGGCATTCAGAACAACAAGAACAATAATTTGCAACTGAAGCAAATACCCCAGGCCAATAAAACCTCTGTAAGATTCTTTCTTTTGTCTTTTCTATTCCTAGATGTCCCCCCAGTATATGGCTGTGTGCAAGATTTAGGACTGTATGTCTAAAGGGCTTAGGAACAAGTAGTTGCTTTACAACATCCATCCCCTATTTCTCCAGTCTATAAATCAAATCATTCTGTACCTCAAAGTAAGGATAAGAAGGGGCTCTATCTAATTGTACTGGATTATTATTAGAAATATGGATATTTGTACGGGCCTCTGCAAGAGTGGGTGTTTTCCTGAAGTTAACAGGACTAATTTCTAATTCAGGCAAGTTAATGCCTTGATTCTGATCATTATCAGACTCCTGACTATTGTGGCCCAGGCCATCTCCTACTAAAGCTGGCATGTGACGTGAGGCTTCAGCCTTCTCTGTTCTTAAGCCTAGTCATTCTATTGCAGAAAAAGGACATTTCCAGAATCATCATTTGCTAAACAATCATGAGCTACTTTTCTCAACTGTGATGAAAGCACCTTTGTCACTGGGATTTGGAGAGGCCTGCGTGCCAGCATCTTGCCCTGTGACTATGGCCCCTGGGATGTATTGCCTTTTAAAAGCACTATTTGGGATCTTTTGGCAACTGCACAGCCCTCTAGAGTAAGGAAGCCAGGTCAAGACAAAGTCCAGTTTAAAAGGCCTCTGACCTGTTTATTTTCTGTTGATAGTAAGTAGCCAGTATATCAGGATACAACAGGATATACAAAGCAGCAATGCTTACAAATGGCAGAAAACCTTCCAAGCTTCTTTCTCCACAAAAAAAATGTCCACCCTCCACCCTACTTTAACAGAAGCTATAAAGCTGCTCACAGCCCCTACAGGTGAGGCTAATGACCTCGTTAGGCAGTGAGACAGAACTCCTCAGAAAACCTGGGCTTGACTCATGCACAGCCACTCTGACAGTGGGGTGGAGAATCGGCCCACCCTGCTCTTCCAAATACTCTACCACAGGGACCCAAATAACAACATAGAAAAAAAAAACTACATTAAACCCCTTAAGGACCGAGGGCGGTTCAGGACCTTCATCGGCATTTTTCCATTGCCGACCGGTGACGGTCCTGAACCATCCTAACGGTCTTATGTACTTACCTGATCACCGTCGTTCCCCCGGCGGCGATCGGCGTTGCTCCCAGTGTGGGGAGACTGCCTGCAGCCCAGACAGTCTCCCCATTGCGGATTAGGACCCACAGCGATCACATGGTCACAATGGGTGTCCATGTGTCTGCCTGCAGGGGGACAGGGAGTCTCCCTGCTAGTGTAAAATCATAAAAAAAATAAAAGTTAATGTTAATTAAAAAAAATAATTATATATGTGTATATAAATATGATATATAGACATTTATTATATCTATATAATATATGTCTATATATCATATATATAATGTCATACTAAGTGTAATTTTTATATTAATATGTACATATATTAATATAAAAATACACTTATAATTAAATTACACATGTATATATATATATATATAATAACTATATATACTGTATATATATTATAAAATACAAATAAGTAATTTAAATTAAATTAAAAAAATGTAAAAATAATAAAAAATTTAAAACAATTATATATCTATATGAAATTTTATTCTAACTGTATTTTGATATATATATATATATATATATATATATATATATATATATATATTAATATCAAAATACAGTTAGAATAAAATTTCATATAGATATATAATTGTTTTAAATTTTTTATTATTAATATCAAAATACACTTAGAATGAAATTGTATATATATATATATCTATGTATATATAAATAATGAAATAATACGAAATATACATATGTCCAAAATTACATAAATAATTATATAAATATACACGTAGACTTCAAATATATAAATATGCTTATATATTTAAATTCTACGTGCGTATTTATGTAATATTTTTACATAATTAAGTAATTTTATTGATTGCAATTTGAGGGACCTGCCTGCCAACCCAGGCCGAAAGTCCAGAGAATTTAATTTGCTAGCACTGTATTTTACCCTGTAACGTTCTACGACACCCTAAAACTTGTAAATGGGGGGTACTGTTTTACTTCGCTGAACACAAATATTAGTGATTCAAAACAGTAAAACATAACACAGCGATTATATTGTCAGTGAAAGTGCCTTTTTTTGCATTTTTCACACACAAACAGCACTTTTACTGATGATATAATTGTTGTGATACGTTTTCCAGTTTTGAAACACTACAGGGAGTGCAGAATTATTAGGCAAGTTGTATTTTTGAGGATTAATTTTATTATTGAACAACAACCATGTTCTCAATGAACCCATAAAACTCATTAATATCAAAGCTGAATATTTTTGGAAGTAGTTTTTAGTTTGTTTTAGTTATAGCTATGTTAGGGGGATATCTGTGTGTGCAGGTGACTATTACTGTGCATAATTATTAGGCAACTTAACAAAAAACAAATATATACCCATTTCAATTATTTATTATTACCAGTGAAACCAATATAACATCTCAACATTCACAAATATACATTTCTGACATTCAAAAACAAAACAAAAACAAATCAGTGACCAATATAGCCACCTTTCATTGCAAAGACACTCAAAAGCCTGCCATCCATGGATTCTGTCAGTGTTTTGATCTGTTCACCATCAACATTGCGTGCAGCAGCAACCACAGCCTCCCAGACACTGTTCAGAGAGGTGTACTGTTTTCCCTCCTTGTAAATCTCACATTTGATGATGGACCACAGGTTCTCAATGGGGTTCAGATCAGGTGAACAAGGAGGCCATGTCATTAGATTTTCTTCTTTTATACCCTTTCTTGCCAGCCACGCTGTGGAGTACTTGGACGCGTGTGATGGAGCATTGTCCTGCATGAAAATCATGTTTTTCTTGAAGGATGCAGACTTCTTCCTGTACCACTGCTTGAAGAAGGTGTCTTCCAGGAACTGGCAGTAGGACTGGGAGTTGAACTTGACTCCATCCTCAACCCGAAAAGGCCCCACAAGCTCATCTTTGATGATACCAGCCCAAACCAGTACTCCACCTCCACCTTGCTGGCGCCTGAGTCGGACTGGAGCTCTCTGCCCTTTACCAATCCAGCCACGGGCCCATCCATCTGGCCCATCAAGACTCACTCATTTCATCAGTCCATAAAACCTTAGAAAAATCAGTCTTGAGATATTTCTTGGCCCAGTCTTGACGTTTCAGCTTGTGTGTCTTGTTCAGTGGTGGTCGTCTTTCAGCCTTTCTTACCTTGGCCATGTCTCTGAGTATTGCACACCTTGTGCTTTTGGGCACTCCAGTGATGTTGCAGCTCTGAAATATGGCCAAACTGGTGGCAAGTGGCATCGTGGCAGCTGCACGCTTGACTTTTCTCAGTTCATGGGCAGTTATTTTGCGCCTTGGTTTTTCCACATGCTTCTTGCAACCCTGTTGACTATTTTGAATGAAACGCTTGATTGTTCGATGATCACGCTTCAGAAGCTTTGCAATTTTAAGAGTGCTGCATCCCTCTGCAAGATATCTCACTATTTTTGACTTTTCTGAGCCTGTCAAGTCCTTCTTTTGACCCATTTTGCAAAGGAAAGGAAGTTGCCTAATAATTATGCACACCTGATATAGGGTGTTGATGTCATTAGACCACACCCCTTCTCATTACAGAGATGCACATCACCTAATATGCTTAATTGGTAGTAGGCTTTCGAGCCTATACAGCTTGGAGTAAGACAACATGCATAAAGAGGATGATGTGGTCAAAATACTCATTTGCCTAATAATTCTGCACTCCCTGTAATATTTGTGTTCAGCAAAGTCTCCTGAGTATAACAGTACCCCCCATGTAAAGGTTTTATAGCGTTTTTGAAAGTTACAGGGTCAAATATATGGGTCAAATATTTTTACATTGAAAATGGCCAGGTTGGTTACGTTGCCTTTGAGAGCGTATGGTAGCCCAGGAATGAGAATTACCCCTATGATGGCATACCATTTGCATAAAAAGACAACCCAAGGTATTGCAAATGGGGTATGTCCAGTCTTTTTTAGTAACCACTGGCCAAAATTGGCAAACACTGGCCAAAATTAGCGTTCAATTTAGTTTTTTACTTTTTTCACACACAAACAAATATGAACGCTGACAAGAAAAAGAAACAACCAAAAGGTACAAAATAATGTGAATCACTAAAGTGATAATAAATAAATGAATACAAACTGAATTGTGTTGATATATTCTAGATTCAGAATTACATCTGTAAAAAATACACAAACAATATATAGTGTGATATTGTTAAAGCCACTTAGAAATTGAAAGTGGTAGAGAACTCACAAAAATGGGATGAGATCAGGCATATCTCCCTCTGTATTAGGGGACTGGAGAATGTGAAGGACCTCCAGCGATGAATCCAGTTTTATAATGGCAAATCTTCTAATTCACTCCAAATGGAAGGAAAGAAGAAATAGATAGTGCAGGTTGTATAGAGTAAGAGTAACAATTTATTACATATATTGCACTTACAATGTATCAGAATAAAAACAGCTTGTCTCCACACTGGGTGGTATCCACTTGTAGCAGCTGAGCCAATCAAAATACAGGATCTGGAGCAGTAATAGCAGCAACCAAACAATATTAAAATAAAAGTTCATATGAACAGTACAAAAACTAAATAAAAACAGTTCCAACGCGTTTCGTCCTCCTCTGGACTTCCTCAGGGATGTGTAGCTGGGATAGGATTGGGAATCTTCTTATATATCCGCCATCTGATCACTCAAATATTCGCCAGTGTTGGCGTGCGTTCCACCTTGGAACGCATACTACTTCCGCATGACATCACTTCCGGTTTCGCGGATAGAGTGAAACCGCAGTATATACCAATTATTCTCAATTGTGACAACTCAAAAAAACACTTGCAGCACAGAATTGCAGGCTGAATAGATGATACTTATCAACACAGAGCACATCTCACATAGAGATATCAATATAAACATAAATACTAGATATTGAGCATATCAATATTAACATATATATATATCTCAAATTTGAAATTTTAATACAATGTATATAATGAATATACCTATATATCAGCATTTACTTTTATTTTTATTTTTAAGAGACATATATAAATTTGATTAATTCGAGTGATTAGAATAGACTTGAATAAATTTAAATATTTGAAATTTGAAACATGGAGATTTAGAAATTTAATAATATGGAAGATTCTTAGAAAATTTAGAATTATGAAAAACTTTATGAAAAATTTAAAGGTATAGACGGTCAATTCAGGACCAACTATTTGATATGCTCAATTTCTTACAAAAATTGTGTGATATATTATATACACCATTCAATAAATCCTTCCTATATTTTAAACTATAATTTAACTATTTCTGTATTTAGGAGTAATGTTTCTGTAATGAAAAAACAAAAATTAATCTTCAAATTTAAGCCAATATAATAATAATCATATGGATAGATAGAGAATGAAATAGAGTAAAATAAAATAAAATAAAAATAAATAAAATAAAAATAAAAAATAAAATAAAAAATAAAATAAAAAAAATAAAAAAAATAAAAAATAAAAAATAAATAATAAAAAGAAAAATAAGTATGAATAATAATAATAATAATAAATATAAATAATAATAATACAATTAAAATAAAAAATAAATATAATACTTTTTTCACACACAAACAAATATGAACGCTAACTTTGGCCAGTGTTTGCGACTAAGTGGCTACTAAAAAAGTCTGGACATACCCCATATTGAGTACCCTGGGTTGTCTACTTTAAAAAAAATATGTACATGTGGGGTGTTATTCAGAGATTTATGACAGATAATAGTGTTACAATGTCACTATTGATAAATTTTAAAAATGTATGTTTTGAAACTGCAATATCCTACTTGTACCTATAGCCCTATAACATGCAAAAAATAGCAAAAAAGCATGTAAACACTGGGTATTTTTAAACTCAGGACAAAATTTTGAATCTATTTAGCAGTTTTTTTCATTCGCTTTTGTAGATGAGTAAAAGATTTTTCAAGTAAAAGTAAAAAAACATGTAATTTTTTTACATTTTTCATCATATTTTTTCATTTTTTTAAAATTAAATTATATTATATAAATAATGGTATGTAAAGAAAGCCCCCTTTGTCCTGAAAAAAAACAATATATAATTTGTATGGGAACAGTAAATGAGAGAGCGGAAAATTACAGCTAAACACAAACACCACAAAAGTGTAAAAAGATGCCTGGTCGCAAATGTACAACATCGCAAAAACAGTCCGGTCCTTAAGGGGTTAAACGTAACTTTCCCTGGGGCTGCATACAGGGATGTTATAACTGCAAGGCAAACAAGGCATTTGCCTTGGGCGGAATTTTCCAGGGGGCGGCAAATGCACAGGGCAAATGCCTTGTTAGCCTCGCGGCTAACTGACAAGCCAGGCGGGCGGGCGGCGCTGGCGAGGGAGCACTTTCCCCTGAGCTGTCTATTCAGCTCCCTTGCGCGCCGCCCGCAGAGTGATGCTGGGAGCCGGAATATGACGTCATATTTCGGCTCCCAGCATCACTCTGCGGTGCACGAGGGAGCTGAGCAGACAGCTCAGGGGAAAGTGCTCCCTCACCAGCGCTGCCCGCCCGACCACCTGGCCGCCCAGCAGCCACTGGACCCCCATGGAGAGGGAGACCCCCCCAGCATTCCCAAAGGTAAGGAGGCTGGTGGGGGGTTAAATTAAAAAAAAGTGAGTGTGTTTATGTGAGTGAGTGTCTGTGTGTATGTGTGTGTGTGTGTGTGTCTGTTAGTGTGTGTGTGTCTGATTCTGTGTGTGTCTGTTAGTGTGTTTGTGTGTGTGTCTGTGTGTGTCTGTTAGTGAATGTGTGTTTGTCTGTTAGTGAGTGTGTGTGTGTCAGTGAGTGTCTGTGTGTGTGTGTGTGTGTCTGTGAGTGAGTGTGTGTCTGTTAGTGAGTGTGTGTCTGTTAGTGTGAGTCTGTGTGTGTCTGTTAGTGAATGTGTGTTTGTCTGTTAGTGAGTGTGTGTGTCTGTTAGTGAGTGTGTGTGTCTGTGTGTCTGTTAGCTAGTGTATGCGTATCTGTCAGTGAATGTGTGTGTGTGTTTAGAAGGCGGGGCAGGGGGGAAGGGTTGGGTGGGGGAGGCGCGCGGGGGGGGTGGGGGCACCTGAGTTTTTTGTCCTGCCAGAACCAGGATACACCACTGGCTGCATACACATGTGCTAACCCACATGTCAGGATAGTGACTGCATAAACGTCTGGGTGCCAGATATATATATATATATATATATTGTGACAGAGTGTTGGGGATGTGGTAGATGGTGGTCAGGGGTGTATATCTGGCACCCAGACGTTTACGCAGCCACTATCCTGACATGTGAGTTAGCACATATATATATATATATATATATATATACATACATACTCATAAACACTATTTGTGTTTGAATGTAAACATGTTTTTGTATGAAGTATGTGTGTGAATGTTGGTGTTTGAATGTAGGCGTGCATTTGTGTGTAGTGTATACACTTCCCCAAACACTTATATACAGACACACAAAGATACACAGACACACATGCAAATACATAAACACACAGATAGACACACTGACACACAGATACACACACTGACACACCAATATACATGCAGAAACACAATGACATGCAGTTACACACATGTATACACACACACACACATAGCCACACTGACACACACACAGATACAGACAATCATACACATTGACACAGAATACACACACACACATGCTGATGTACAAATACACACTGACACAAAAGGACACACAGACACACACATACACTGACATACACACATACACACACTCCACACAGACACACTGACATTTATACAGACACATAAATGCTGACACACATGCCCAAATAGTGACATACATACAGACACACACACACATACTGGCATACATACAGACACACACACATACATACATACACATACTAACACACAGACACATGCAACTTTTTTTTAGCCACCCACCTGTATCTAAACTTTTTTTGTTGCAGGAAGGTGGCTGTGGCTGATCGGAGTCGGTCTGGCAGCTGGCTCTTAACTGCCTACTGCCTCCTGCCTCCTGCGCGGAGTAAGCTGGGAGAGACTGACCGGCCGTCACTTCCTCCCAGCAGTACTTGTGGCTGCCATTTCTTAAGGGGCATAGTTGCACTATTACACAGCCACAGCGCTGACCGGGCCCCTGAACACATAATGCCCATTGGGTGGCCCAAAGTGCATGGGCCACCCGATGGTCCCTATTAGCATGCGGGGCCTGGTGCAGGTGCACCGGCAGCAGTTTTACCCCTCAGGGCTGCCGGGCCTGTGACAACCGTCATGGTTGTCACCCCCTGATGGCAGCCCTGCAGGCACTCAGCAATCCAAATCTTGACAGCCACTTAGGCAACATTTCGGTCACTATATGTGAACTCTATTAAGCCATAGCCATGTGGACAAAAACAGCATTTAAATACCGTTGTATTGATTGGCAACATTTCAAATTACCTCAAGATGATATCAAACAGGTGGACATCATGATAAAGATTTAGCATTACGTGATGTCATCATTCCTCGCTCTCGGTCTTGTGACCTGGTTTTCGGAGTGTGGCTGTGGTCATTATCTGGGAGCGCCTGGACCTCATTCTTTCTTTCATACTTGGAGTTGGTGTCACCTCCAGTGTTTGGAGCAACCTTACTACTATTATTTTCTACTTGGAATATTTTATTAAATGCAGACTCCTACATTGAATAGGTCTCATTTTTGTGCATTATAGCAGTTAATCTGTTAGAATTACCCCACAAAGGCCTATCATTTGTGAAAGTAGACACTCCAGGGTATCTCATATGGTATATGTTGTGCCTTAACGTTCCGCCATTTTTTCAAATGTATATGTCAAACTTTGTGGTAACAATTTGTAAAAAAAAAAAAAAAATGTTTTGCATTGTATAAGTACATTGCATTTTTATTGGGTGTTTTGTATATCTGATGTGTGCTATTATGATCAAAACCCACAAATGCTCAGCAAACTCTTTTGAGTAAAACAATACTCCTAAAGTGTGCCTTTGCCCCTATCTTGTGAAGTTACAGTGCCATATAAGAGACCTAGCTACAAGTCAGTTTTTACAGTTAGAATTTTGATAGCTGGATTTGATTAGCACGTGTCTCACTTTAGAGCACTGTAGTGGTTTGACTGTTCAAATTATACCTTTAATACATAACATTTGGAGAAGTAGACACCACGGGCTATGTCATATGGTATATTTTGAGCCTTATTGTACATACATTGGTGCCAATGCAACAATTTCTTTCAAAGTTAATGGTAGTATTGTATTTTTGCGTTTTGCATTTTTTTTACATGCACATTGCAATTTAATACAAACATACACCACACCCTCACCGTTCAAGTGACAAGTGGGAAAAAAACTATTTTAGTATGAACTTATCTTATTATGTGCAGCTTCCTCCAAGTATATCCCAGAATAACATTGCAAATTAACAGTTTATTGTGCAAACTTTATATAAGCTACTGTAATAAAAAATTTTTAAAAATCACAAATTTGTGCTCAGCTATATCTCCTGGGTAAAGAATGGTCCTTTTTGCATACACTTGTCAAGTCTTTGTGAAAATCGAGGACTTAATGGGACACTGTAGGCACCCAGACCTCTTCAGCTCATCGAAGTGGTCTGGTTGCTGTGTCCATATAGCACTTAGTGCTGCAATGTAAAATATTGTAGTTCCAGAGAACTGCAATGTTTACATTGCAGCTCTAAGTCTGCCCTCTGTGGCTGTCTACCAGATAGCGACTGGGAGCACTTTCGGAATCGAAACGGACCTTTGGTCCCTTATCTGAAACTGTACATCCTCACTCTCTGCATGAGGACCTCCAGCGTCAGATTTTCCCCATATGAAAGCATTGAATAATGCTTTCCTATGGGAAGGTAAAATGCGTGCGCGGCCATTGGTGCACATGCGCGTTAGGTCTCCCTTGCTGGCTGACGACGGCGGGGAAGGAGCGTGGGCAGACCATGACCAAGCACAGAGGGACATCAGCGCTGGATTCTGGTAAGTAACTAAACCCAAAATGGTTTGAGAGAAATTTGGGGGACAGCACCTAAAGACATATACAACAAGCTGCATTAGTTAAAGTGTTTTGAGTGCTTCTTTAATGCCTATCAATATATGCAGTTTGATTTGTGCTGACCTTTATAGTATTAATAAAGGCAGTATCATTATAATTTTGCTGACACTAGATGCTTGTATTATCCAGCTACGTAAAAGATAACCGATTGAAACATAGAATGTGACGGCAGATAAGAACCATTCGGCCCATCTAGTCTGTCCAATTTTCTAAATACCTTCATTAGTTCCTCGCCTTACCTTATATCTAGGATAGCCTTATGCCTGTCCCAAGCTTGCTTAAACTCCTTTACTGTGTTAACCTCTACCACTTCAGCTGGAAGGCTATTCCATGCTTCCACTACCCTCTCAGTAAAGTAATACTTCCTGATATTATTTTTAAACATTTGCCCCTCTTATTTAAGACTATGTCCTCTTGTTGTGGTAGTTTTTCTTCTTTTAAATATAGTCTCCTCCTTTACTGTGTTGATTCCCTTTATGAATTTAAATGTTTCTATCATATCCTCCCGTCTTGTCTTTTGATTGCACCCCAATAACGTTTTATTGTAGTCATCTTTGCACATGTTTTGGTTGCATATCTAGCATATAACCACTCATAAGTTAATTATAAGCAACAATTATTTTTCAACCAGAAGCACAGTCGTTGTTGAAATGACCTTCATTATTAAAATTATTGTTAAATTATTAATTTGAAGAATTGAAAGCAGGAAGGCAAATTATTGAAGTTTCGTTAGTTCATTTTCATAATGTTCATCAGCTTCAATGCTTTCTTATGGGGATTCCGGTGACGCTGTCGCCTATCCACCCGGAAGTCCCTCTGGTGGCTGTCTGGTAGACAGCCACTAGAGGAGGCGTTAACCCTAGCAGTTTATAAAAACTGCAATAATTGCATCACTCAAAGTGACTTTTATTCGATCCAAAAGCAGTCTCGGCTATGTTGGGACCAAGTTAATGTTGCTACTTAATATGTTAACTTTTCAGCAATGTTGCAATCTCTGTTTTGGACTTGACTCCTGGATTTCAGTTTTCCCTGAATACTCTCCCACCAATGATTGCCACATGGCCTGGTTTGGCAGGGACTGTCCCAGTTTAGACCTTACAAAATCAGAGACTCCTGATCTCTGGTGAATATCTGATGCTGCATAATGTTTGATAGATTGCAGAGGACAGAGAGACTGCATTTTAGCTGGAAGACATCTTCTTATGTTGGGGGGCACTATGGTCACACTGCCTTGCATAATTCTCAATACTTGGGCATCTACTACTATAATTAATGGCAATACAAAGCAACCATTTACATCAGTCCTTCTAAGCAGAAAGAAGCAATGTATGATTGGCTATGTATTTAAAGTCAGAGTCATCAGATCACATGTGAAGAAATGTCTACGTGTATGCCAACAGCCAGTCCCAGTGTGTGTTACCATCATTCAGAATGCTCACATAATTCTAGACTCTAAAGATTATGTAACTGCTATGCCCAGACAGCCCAGGCAAGTTATCCTCATTGAATTCCTGCCAATAAGCAGCCTTTAGGTATCACTGGCTATGCTAGTGACTGTCAGCTTTTCAAGACAGAGTTTAACCTTTTAACTGTCAGTGCGTGTGTGTCCAATATAACTGTAAAGCAGTGTGTTATACACCTCTAGTACTCATCATGCCCTGCTTGGGAATTCTCTCTCCAACACACTTCCTATTAACATATGTTCTTTGATTGCAAGCTCTGCAGCCAAGAACCCATCCCCCTTTCTGTATTATGCACAAATCGCCTATATTTATTTAATCAGTGCAACCTTATTGGGGATTGTAATATATAAAGACAATACTAAGGATAACTCTGTTTCAAATTAGACTTTATACTTTAGCAGTCATTGGTGCCCCGTCATGCCCCCTAGAATATTCCTAGACCTAAGAAAAAGCATTACAGGAGGTGACGACAAAGTAGTCTTGCTGCCTTTAGCACAGAATTAGTTGCACACGCACTGTGTGCAATGGGAATGTCACTCAGGACTATATGTTTGTCTTCACACATTCTGTACCAACAAGCACTATGTATTCTACTGGGCGAGTAAGACACATAAAATCTTCTATAACACGTGATTACAAGGAACAAGAATCTGAACATGGGTTGGTTTCAGGCTGTTGCTTGATTTCAGAAACACCAGGTGCTTGAGCCAAAAGACAAGCTTGATTACTACACTAATAGAGAGGTGGGGAATGCCATTAGTTATCATACCAACGTTATGTTATGTTACTTCTTCTAAACCCATGAACAGCGTGCTGCTAATTCTCTCCAGGATCTCAATGACAGCATAGCCTGCACCGCCAGGTATTCAATGCAATCCTGTCACACTATCTGACTAGCAGAGCAATAACTCTGTCTTTTTTTATAATAGGTGACTGCTTTGAGCAGGGCCGGACTGGATATACAAAGCAGCCCTGGAAACAAAATCTATGCTAGTCTCATAAGTCATTGTGCCATGTATTGTGTGTGTGTATAATATATATAAAAAAAAAAAAAATATATATATATATATATATATATATATATATATATATATATATATATAAATAAAACAAGAGGGGGTTGGCTGCACTCACCTTAACACTCACCTTTGGCTGGGGGCCAAATAATACAATACACAAGATCCAGCGCACTCACCTATCCACTAAACAGCAACTTCAATGTTGAAAGATTTTTTTTTTTTTAAACACCTAATCTAGGCAAAAATAATGGGGGTTTAGTTACATTATATGATCGTATAATGTAACTAAACCCCCATTATTTTTGCCTAGATTAGGTGTTTTTAAAAAAACAACTAAAATCTTTCAACATTGAAGTTGCTGTTTAGTGGTTAGGTGAGTGCGCTGGATCTTGTGTATTGTGTTATTTGGCCCCCAGCAGCACCCCCATTTATACATGTTAAGGTGAGTGCAGCCAACCCCCTCTTGTATTATATATATATATATATATATATATATATATATATTTGGGAGTCTAGCCAACTCCTTGGTTTTGCACCCCTCCCTGTCACAGGTGCCTCATCCCAGGGCCCTATTTAGCCTTGTACTGCAGAGAGCCCCAGATGGAATTTTTTTCCCCAAGTAGGTTAATCTCATAAGAGTAGACATTAGGCTGTTAGTGTAGGACCTGCCAAAGATGGGGTACATTGACGTTGTGGCAGGCTTATGCAATGTATGATCATATAATGTAACTAAACCCCCATTATTTTTGCCTAGATTAGGTGTTTTTAAAAAAAAAATCTTTCAACATTGAAGTTGCTGTTTAGAGGATAGGTGAGTGCGCTGGATCTTGTGTATTGTATTTATATATATATATATATATATATATATATATATATATATATATTAGACACGCACACACACACTACATGGCACAATGACTTATGGGGCTGGCATAGATTTTTCAATTTTTTTATGTGTTTATAAATTACTCAATCATCTGGGGTGGCAAGACATAGCCTTACATATTATAAGTATCTTTCTTTTTCTAATTCAAAATAATGGAACTTTCAGGGTAAAAAAAATAATTATACTGTAGCATACTCACATGCAGATACATACAGTCTCACTGACACAAGTTCACTGATTTGCTCATTGAATATGCTCATTGACAGACACTATCACTGACACACACAGACAAGCTTACTGATACACACACACAACCTTAGTATAGACAAACTCTGACTGACACACATACACACACACACATGCTCACTACAGACAAGTTCACTGACACACATGCTCATTACAGACAAGCTCACTGAAACACCCACATGCTTATTACAGATAAGGTCACTGACTCACACACACGCTTAGTACAGACAAGCTCACTGACACAGACAAGCTCACTTACAGTTAAGCTCACTTACACACACAGGCTCATTTAAAGAAAGGTTCACTGACACACACATACTCCCTACAGAAAAGGTCACTGACACACACTTGCTCCCTACTGAAAAGCTCACTGACAAGCTCACTGACACACACATGCACCCTTCAGAAAAGCTCACTGACACACACCTGCTCACCACAGACAAGCTCACTGACACATACGTGCTCACTACAGACAAACTCATTGACACACACATGCTCCCTACAGACAAGCCCATTGTCACACACATATTCACTACAGACAAGTTCACTGACACACACATGCTCATTACATACAAGTTCACTAAAACATACAAATTCACTAGTCAAGCTCAATGACACACACAAATTCACTAGACAAGGTCAATCACACACACAGGCTCACTACAAACATGCTCACTACAGTCAAGCATCCATACACACACAATCTCACTACAGATAAGCTCACTGAAACACACATGCTCCCTACAGAAAAACTCACTGACACACACATGCTCACTAAAGACAAGTTCACTGACACACATGCTCATTATATACAAGTTCACTAAAACATACAAATTCACCCTTCAAGCTCAATGACATACACAAATTCACTACAGACAAGCTCAATGACACACAAATTCACTACAGGCAAGCTCAATGACACACACAAGCTCACTACAAACAAGATCACCGAGACACACATGCTCACTACAGTCAAGCTCACTGACAAACACACACATGCTCACTACAGTTAAGCTCTGACACACACACAAATGCTCACTACAGACAAGCTCACTGACACACATGCATGCAAGCTCACTTACTAGCAGACACACACATACACAAAATCACCGTCATAGGCTGAAGCCTACCTGGCACTGAATGCTGTGGGGGCACAGGGATGTGAAGTTTCCATTGACTGGCCTCTTCCTGCTAGCAATGTGAGCAGTTTGAGTTTGGGGGCGGAGGCAGGGCTTGCATGCGGGGGTAGAGCTTGAGTGCGGGGGTGAAGCATACGGCAACTACTTGCTGGGAATTGTGAAGGGAGACTGACAGTGCTCCCTCTGGCAGCCAGAAGGCTAACTTCAGCCACACCACCATCTCCCTTCTCAAACCCCTTTGACTGACACAGGATGTCACAGTGCGAGGGGAAAATCATTTACAGGGCTTTAATCTAATAATTAGGGCTGTCTGCTTGGCCCCAGGTGTTGTAGCCCACCGGGAAATTTCCCAGCATCCCGTTGAGCCAGTCCAGCCCTGGCTTTGAGAAGCAGATTTTTTCTATAAAAATAAACACTAATAGTCTCCAGGCTGGTCCCTAGGCTTCAAGAGGTCTCTGCCCAGAAATATCCTAATGCAGGATCAGTTATTTATACTGCCCACCATAAGTTTGAAAGACAAAGAAAATAACTTGTCTTTGTAAATTGCCTACATACACAACATAGCAATCACTCATTCACTAAACAGCAATGTTAAAGCTCACAGAATGTGATAGTCTTCTTTAAAAACACCTAATCAATATACAAATATTGGGGCTTACAATATATGATCACACATTGCATAAGCCTGCCACAAGGCCAATAAACCCCTTTTTTGTTGGTCCTATCCTACCAATCTTATGAGATTAATCCACTTACATGGGAAATGCTTCCTCCTGGGACTCTCTGCAGGGCAAGGTTAAATAGGGCCCTGGAATGAGGCACTAGTGAGACTAATTGTAGACCGCAGAATATTCCATGTAGAACAGTGACATTAACATTCAAACACTTTCCGCATTCCCTGGAGCTTTAGATGTGTTTTATGGTCTTAGAGCTCCCTCTGCTGGAATAAATGCTTTCATTTTGAAGGAAGTAAAAAAATAGATTTAAAAAAAAAAAAAAAAAAGTACATCAGTCGGTTTTCAATTTGCAACAAAAAGGGCACATGAATCTCATTCTTTCCCTGCGTATCAATGTAATTTTCCAGATACATTTCCAGGGGGATTAGTTGTATTGCAAATGTTCATTTGAGATCAATTAGGGCATGTAGCTCAATAGAAAATATATTACACTCTTTAATATTTACACCACTTGAGGGACATGCAGGAAATAATGCAGGGTTTTCTCTTCAACAATAACTTCTATATAGATTCTATAGATCCATTGCATTAATCTTAAAGGACCACTATAGTGCCAGGAAAACATACTCGTTTTCCTGGCACTATAGTGCCCTGAGGGTGCCCCCACCCTCAGGGTCCCCCTCCCGCCCGGCTCTGGAAAGGTGTTAAAACTTACCTTTTTCCAGCGCTGGGCGGGGAGCTCTCCTCCTCCGATCCTCCTCTTCTCCTCCCCGTCGGCTGAATGTGCACGCGCAGCAAGAGCTGCGCGCGCATTCAGCTGGTCACATAGGAAAGCATTCACAATGCTTTCCTATGGACGCTGGCGTGCTCTCACTGTGAAAATCACAGTGAGAAGCACGCAAGCGCCTCTAGCGGCTGTCAATGAGACCGCCACTAGAGGAAATAGGGGAAGGCTTAACCCATTCACAAACATAGCAGTTTCTCTGAAACTGCTATATTTATGAAAAAATGGGTTAACCCTAGAAGGACCTGGCACCCAGACCACTTCATTAAGCTGAAGTGGTCTGGGTGCCTAGGGTGGTCCTTTAAATGAAAATGATCAGTTCTTGGTAGATCTCACACCTTAAGCTACATTGACTTCATTCACAATATTTTACAAGACAAACGTACAATGAGCTGTAGTTATTAAATGTGTGACAATGATTAGCATAGACATGAAATTACTCACTTAATAGAAGTGTCCAACGGCTTGTTTATCTTCACACTGTGTAGAGGAGAGGGACTATTTCGCTCTGTCAACAGACTTTGTTCTGTGTATACCAGGGGCTTATGTAGCTTGTAGTGCCGTTAGTACCTATTTACTCATAAAAACCTAGTTAAAATGCTACTCTCTGAAACTATTGCTGCTCTTTCCATTAATGTTCAACATTTACTGAACACTGCAAGTTAGAAGTGAGAAACAGGAAGCTAGTGGTAATCATACACTAATCAGGAAATTCTATGATTTCAAAACGCTGTTTTCCTATTTGGACATTATATTAGTAAACTTCAGTAGGCATATTGCAACTTCTGCGTAACATGCAGTATCAGTGACTGCTAAATGTGCATATAGTGACTTTAGAAAATACATAATTCTTTTACTAAACGGTGCTAAAACAACTCTAGTTCAACAAATAGATATACAATAGAATATCACCTTAGTACTCAAAGTGTATGTCACCCAGACCAGCGCTTCATCAACATTTTAACAGGACATTTCTTCCACTGATGATGTGATCTATATAGAATTTATTGCCGTGCGTATTCTATATACTGACCAATGTTTATTTGTACACAGTCCTCTTCTTTAAACAGCACTGACTTGTACAACGTTTTGCAGCTTTAATTATAGTTTCGGATACTTCCAGATACTCAAGACTAATAAGTTAGTAAGAAATATTTGATATAAGGTTTTCACACCACTTGCATGAAATGTGTTTGTGATAAAGACCTGCTTTTAAGAAGGTTATTATTTTTACAATTAATTTAGAGGATTTTCGTTTTTCTCTTAATGTTGTAAAGTATTTTAGGTCTTGGCATATTGAATAAACACTATAGCGTTTGGAATCCAAACATGTATACTTAACACTATAGTGATGATCTCACTATTTAGGCTAATCTACTTACCTGTTCTCATTTAGCGCACTGTGCTGTCCATGCCTGGCCCTGCCCTCTTCAAATAGGCTCTATAAGACAATCTGATTAAAAAAGCCCAGTTTAATTTGGCTATTTTGGCGAAAACACATCTAATAGCAGTTAGTGTGACAGTCACTAGAGGCATGTTAATCCTGTATTGTAAACATTGCTGTTCCTGCAAAATGGCAGTGTTTTCAGATTCCTCAAATTGCTCTGAGGAAAGCAACCCTCCTGTCTTGTTGATATTCAAGAGGTGTAACCAATGGAATTGAGAAGTGCTGATTTCTCTTGAAATCAGCATTTTTATAAAGCAGGATAAAAGGTGATCTGCTCTTAAAGAAACATTGTTACCTTTGTGTGACTGTTTCACTTGTATTGCTGTGGCTCAGCGTTACAGGTAGTTTTTATTTACTGAACCAGTCCCTCGCAGGTGCTGCCATCTTCTTCTGCAAGGTTCGCTTTAGTTGCTGATGATACATCTGCCAGCAGCACATGTGCGAGTCTACAGTTAGGACTATGGTAGATCATCCAAGATCCTCCATAGAAAGAGCATTTTGTCCACTCAGCTGTCACTAAGGATAGCTGAGGGCTTAAAAAGAGAGAGAGGAAAAAAAAATAAAAAAAAAGTAGTTCTGCCTTTTGACAAACTTGTTGAGCCCAGGAAAATAAAATATGGTTTCTTCTTACTGGGTTGGAATTTCAATAGTCTTTGTGAGCATTTCATAAAGATTTTATCTTTCTGAAATGCTCTTTTTTGTGGGTTGTGGGGGGAAAAGGGACTGTGACAGATCCGCTTTAGCCCCTAAAGCACTTCAGCAAGCTGTGCATGTTACCTTAATTCTTTGTATGAACAGTCCGTCTATTTGGCACCAGGCAAGCAGACAAATAAAAATGATGCATTACTAAATGCATTTGAGTATAAGGAAAGGTGTTTTGAACATCATCATATTCTTCTTTACCTGCTACCACGAATGATGTTTGGGCTTTGAGGGAATGGGGTGAATTAGGAGTATATGAATGCCTGGGTCGCAGGGTATATTCCTGAGTAATGCAACTGCGCTGTCCCCATGATTTGTCTATAACTTTTTGATATGGCATGTTTTTGAATATAAAGGATTAATAATTTGCCAATGGGGAGATTTTGTTAATCTGGTTTGTATTTTTAGCACATTTCTTTTAAAAGTGCGATTATGTAGAAATCAAAAGTATGTAAGTACTAATCCGAACCAATGGTGTATTACGTGTGCTTAGGTATTCAAGTATAATAGAGAATGTATATACTATATTATTTCTACCCTATTCCAGAGCTCCTGCTTATACTCTGGCTTCTGATCACAGCTGCTGTGCTAGTAAACAAGTCCTTATAACAGATCATGAATGGTGACGATATCTTGATATTAAGATTTACCACACGATTAAAAAAAAAAAAAAAAAGACTAATATTTATACCTATTGTTTTTACTCCTAAGTATCAAACATTTGAGGAACAGTATAATTGATTATGTAGTTATGTAAGTAGTCATTTGGCACTTATATTTTTTTTTTTTTTAACTCAAGTCGATACATTTTTTCAGATTTTTTTATTATATGTATTTGGAAAGTCAAGTTTAAATATGATTAGATTTTTCTTGGCAGACTGTGAGAGAAATACGAACTACATACACATTTAATTGTAATTATAAATTATTGCTCACGCAATGGTTTTGTATGTGTAATACCTTCCAGCTCAAATCATGGTTCAATATTTGAAGTCATCATTTGTGTTAAAGGGACACTACAGGCACCCAGACCACTTCATGTCATCGAAGTGTTTTGGGTGCAGTGCCCCTGTCCCCCTAAATCTTGCAGCTGAAAAGATTGCAGTTTTAAATAAACAAACACTTTTTAGAAAAAGTGTTAAGAAATCAGCTTTGTATTCCTAACACTATTATGTTCGTTTAAGAAAAAAAATAAAAAATTAAACACTAGCTTTTGACAGGTAGGACCCATACATACATTCTTAATGCAGTCAATACAAATGAATGACTCACAAAAAACACTTTAGGAAAAGTGAAAAAAATATTCTGGGGTTTTATTATATAGGGGAAAAAAAAAAAAACATAAAATGATCAAATGTCTTGAATAAATTTGAGAATCAATATAAAAATCACAAATGTGGAAACCAAAAAGCAGAGGACCAAGTTCTTATAAATAACCTGAATGATTTGTTAGAGATTGGCAAAGTAGCGGTCCCGGTTTTGAAAATCCCTGTATGCATATTTAGCATCTCTTTTACTATGTGGAATCCGGCCAAATGGCTCATGGTCATTAAAGCATGTATCAAACACATCCTCCACGGCTTTCTCCGCTGCTTCTCGGCTGACTTTTCTAACAGCTAAAATAGATCGAAGAGCTCGATCGCGGACACATACCTAACAGAAAAGAAAGAAACAAATCATTAAATTCAGTTTTGCAAATATCTGACAGTTTGTCTACAGCAGCGGGATTTATCTGCTTACCTTTCAATGAGTAAGGGATACTTGGCTGTTAGCAGTCTTTAATTTATACTTTTACAGAGTTGTTTTCTTTTATTTGATTCATGGTTTATTCAAAGCACAGTTACCAAGGAAATAAAAAGCTTCTAGAGTAGTTTTAGTCACTTATTTTCAAGTATTAAAAACAAACTATAAGATGAGAGCGTTTAGTATTCAGTCCCTGCCTGGTAGTTTCACACATGTGACAGCAAATATAATACGATCAATATATCGGACACAGACAGCATTAATGTTATGTGTCTGCGCTCTAATTCTCACACTCAGAACAACTCAGACACCAGGAAACAAGCACGACTACTTGTGCTACTGCTGGGTGTGGGGGGGCGGATTGTGAAAGAGTTTGTGCTGAATGTGTGAGATGCTCAACAAAAAGAAAGATATGATGCGCTAATGTGACTGGCAAATGTCAACACGACATCTTGCTGCAGTCGGGTGATGACCACCTAGGACCATCTAAAGCATTAAGGAATTAAACACAACAAAGCTTTGATAAAATTTGATGGATCCAAGACAATGTTTAAGTCTGCCTCTGCCTTTTTGTCACTGGGGGTCAGGCTACATTGGACCAAGGATGTCTGCTCAACGGTGATAAGACCCAGTGCTCAAAGACTACAGGAACCATAATCACTACAGTAATCCTTTTCATAAAATTGATGCAGAAATCCACTCTTTATTTAAAGAAAGCTCTTACGTGCAGATAGACTAATAGGTTGGAATAGCTATATGAAGTGGCAAAAAGAAATTAATAAAACAAGCAGAAGTGCAATGGCATCCTAAAATTTATACCTTGTGGTGTTCTTTAAATCCAAATTTAAACCGATTTAGCTCATTGCCAAGTGAGCAATCACCGCTGAGATTGGCAGCTCTAATCTAAAACAAAAAGAAAGATACACTTAAATCATAATATACATATGAAGTACTTTATCAACAAAAAGATAAAATATGCTGTCCTGAAAAGGACACTATAGTCCCCAAAACAACTTTAGCTTAATGAAGCAGTTTTGGTGTATAGATCATGCCTTTGCAGTCTCATTGCTCAATTATCTGACATTTAGGAGTTAAATCACTTTGTTTATGCAGCCCTAGCCACGCCTCCCCTGGCTGTGACTGACGCAGCCTGCAAGATGTATTTATTTTTTAAATCATTTCAATGAGATCTTTAGAAGTTTTCATATCCTGCTCTTTAAATTGAACTTTAAAATCACATACAGGAGGCTCCTGCAAGGTTTAGCAATCTATTAAAACTGCAAGATAAATACTTAAACGGACTGTGCAATAAAAGGAAGTATAAACATTAGATCTCCCTTTACAGGAAGTGTTTAGGGAGGCTGGTAAAGAATTGTGCTCGGGCATGGTCTATACACCAAAACCTCATTAAGCTAAAAGTTGTTTTAAAGACTATAGTGTCCCTTAAAGTAACAAATTTACATAGATTTTTTTTTTCTTGAGATACACGTGAACAACAAAATATTCAGGCACCATGAGGCTCATGCTTGCTCAGTCATTTGCCAGAAATTATCGTAGAGCGCATGTGTGCTCTGGCATTTCTTTCAAAGTGTCCAATGCACTGTAACTGCACCATTTGCATGTACAAAGTGTAACAGGGCAACCAGGAAAACAATGTCAATTATAAAACAAAGTTTGCTTTATTAAAAAAAAAATAGTATAACACAAAATACAAGAAATGGGTGCCATGTATGTTACATCTCTTTATATCATGACCTATAGTGAATAACACCTGAAATACACACTAATTGGGAACATTTTAAATTCATGGGTACCATAGGTGCATAAAAGACAAGGGGAGGGGATTCTTGGCTCTTATAGGGAAGCTGGAATTTGACAAAAAGTAGAGCTTCACTGTCAACCTTTGTCATATCCCACCAACTATCACACTTGATAGTTGAGGGAATCAGGCATCTTCTTGACATTGTGACAAGTAATCTATGGAAGCTTCGATAATCACTTGCACTTGTGTGAGAGTATATGAGTGACGTGTTTGCAAAATGTACAAAGATCCCTGAAAGGAGTGACAGATTTGCACTAATATCTGAAGCAAGTCAATCACACCAACGTTTACAATGTACTGGTCCAAGAATTCATTGTGATTAACTTTAAACCATGCATGATTACACTTTAATATACATATTGTGCTGGCCAATTCCACGCAAATGTATAGCTAAAAGTTCCTTGCACTTTGTGAAAGGTTCCTGCAACTTCAGGCATGCATTCATTATTGGGGTCAGGGTGGGAAAGCTTACTTCTGCCCTGTCTATTCTCAGCAGTTGCATTACATGAGGATGTTTACAGTTCTGAGTAAAGTTTGGCCCTTACCAGTGGGTATTGGACCTGAAATTCTGAGTATATAATATATTATTTTCACTAAAAGTTAGGCCAAAATAGCGGATTAAGGCATTTTGTATTATATTGTAATTAGTTTTCATGCCAACAGACAATCTCCATTTCGCATGTTAGAGAAAACTTGACTTCATGAGCATTAGTTCCAAAAGGTATAAATTCCAAAGCAAGTATAGTGTCATTTTTTTCATGTTAAAATGCTCAGTTTACAAACAAACAACACACAGCATTTACTAATAAATACTCTCACTGCATCCACTACACACACACACAAAAATAAATATTCTTGAAAACATAAAAAACAAAATCTGACTGGCATGTAAATTTTGTGCATTTACCGCTTAATTAAAAAAAAAAAAAATACAGTAAATGTACAGAATATTGGTCTGCTATCAGCTAGCTAGTGCACAGATTATCGGTAATCGGCTCTAAAATAAATAATAAAAAAATTAAATAAAAAATAAAATCAATATCGGTCGATCCCTAGTGGAAAGTTTGGAATCTGTGGAGAGGTGTCTTTTATACAGGTAACAAGCCGAGATTAGGAGGACTCCCTTTAACCCCTTCAGGACGGAGTCAACAGTACACGTTTTGATCAAAACAAAACGTAAACAAAAACTGGAATTTGCGCTATATGTCTGTTCAACTGTAATTCACCGCTGTCACATTAAGTGCACCCACACTTATTATATATCATTTTGTTCAGGAGAAACAGGGCTTTAATTTATCATTAACTATTCATATATGGAACAATTTATTATGAATAAAATTAAAAAAAAAATTGAGAAAATAAGGTTTTTTTTAAATTTGTATTTCCGTCTGACATTTTAGCTGTCAATGTCATAATATTGTTAGGTTTTACTGCAAAAAAATGCACATATTTGTAATCAGCGATGTCTCACGAGTAAAACAGTACCCCCAATAACAGGTTTTATGGTGTTTTGGAAAGTTACAGGGTCATATATAGCACATTACATTTTCAAATTGAATTTTGCCAGATTAGTAATGTTACCTTTGAGATGGTGTGGTAGCCCAGGAATGAGAATTACCCCCATTATGGCATACCATTTAAAAAAGTAGACAACCCAAGGTATTGAAAGTGGGGTATGTTTAGTCTTTTGTAGTAGCCACTTAGTCACACACACTGGCCAAAGTTAGCGCTCATATTTGTTTTTGTGTGAAAAAAAAAAAGCTAAAAACTAATATTTGGCCAGTGTTTGTGACTAAGTGGCTACCAAGAAAGACTGGACATACCCCACTTGCAATACCTTGGGTTGTCTACTTTTGCAAATGGTATGCCATCATGGGGGTAATTCTCATTCCTGAGCTACCATACGCTCTCAAAGGCAACATAACCAATCTGGCAAATTTCAATGTACAAAAAAAAAAAATGAACTGCAAGCCCTATATGTGGCTCTCTAACTTTCCACAACACCATAAAACCTGTACATGGGGGGTACTGTTATTTTTGGGAGACTTCACTAAATACAAATATTAGTGTTTTAAAACAGTAAAACATGTTACAACAATAATATAGTTCATAAAAGTGCCATTCGTTTGTAAAAAAAAAAAGTAACTTTTACTTAAAATATCATCGTTGCAATACAATTTATCATTTTGAAACACTAATATTTGAGTTCAGCGAAGTCTCCCGAGTAAAACAGTACCCCCTATGTAAAGGCTTTATGGTGTCTTGGAGCGTTATAGGGTCAAATATAGTGCTTGCAAATTAAATTCTCTGCACTTTCTCCCTGTGTTGTCAGGCATGACAATCAAATCACATAATTATGTTAAAAGTTAACTTAAATATACACGCGGAATTTTAATTTATATGCATTTATAGGTATTGAAATTCTACGTGTATACTAAATGTAATTATATATAAAATACAAATAACCGCAAAAAAAAAATATATAATATATATATATATATATAAAAAATATGTCATTCTAAGTGTATGAATATATAAGTTATATTAAATTTGTTTCAGTATTTTATTTATTGTAATTCTACATACACATATATTTATATTAAAATACACTTTGTAGGACGTTACACACTAAAATATATATATGATTTTTCATGATTTAATATTTCGGATGTAATACTTCCTTATTTTTGATTCTTAGTTACTATTGAGTCACTTTTTTTAAAATTATTTACAATAGCCCACTTTATATGCACTTAATAGAGCACTATTTAGGGGACATCCCTTGATTAGCACTTTCAAAATCCACCTTCCTTGTTGGATATATTAATATGGTCATATATAGTGCACTGTATCACTTTAAATGTGATTGTTATTTTTCTGTCTAGCTGATTTTGCACATCTGCACTAATTCATTTTAAAATGGATATTACCACCATTATCAAGATACATGATCTTCTTGATCACATTATGTTACTGGGCTACCACAATTATGATGCTACTTCTTAGTGGCCTTATAACTTTATTGTTTACACAGAACATTATTTTATTTCACCATCCATCTACATATTCTCTCTTTATTTCCCCAGCACTCTTGCGGTGTATGTTTATTTGGTTGCCATGGACACGCGGCTTCTGCCGACGTCTCCATGACATCGCGATCATGTGATCGCGACGCAAGGGGGCGGAGCACTTCACGTATGCGTCATCCACACCGGGGACCGCGGGTGCATGCAGGGGATTTGGTTCACCTGGGGTAAGTTTGCTTTCAATTACTATCTGTAATATATAAGCGATATTGTTTACATGGCTATTCATTCCTGAAGAAAGTCCCACTAGAGGACTGAAACGTCGAAATAGCTTTTTTAAATGGATCAATAAACGTTATTTTTTAACACTATTTTCTGGAAATCCGTGAGTGCTAATCACTACAGATCGGTATGTAATTGTTCCCCTGATTTTCAGCACCAGGTCTTTGACTGATACTTTGGAGCTTGAGTGCAAGGATTTTGTGGATGGTTTTGGATAATAGGAGTTGTGGGGTACAACTCCACCTATGCACCAGCCACTTGTATAAATACTTCCATTTTTTGGATTAGAAATAATTATTTGATTTTTTGACTGCTTTTTTTTACCAAATTGGAATACAACTCTCCTTTGTACATAGTGTTTTCACTTTAAGGGAGACAAAATGGATGATTTTTTACTGCAGGCGGGGGCATATGCTGAACAAGCAGATACATTACAATTTTCCCATGATGAAGCTAAGGCCATACTATGGGAGCAATCTGGACTTGATTTACCACATAATTTATCTTCCAAAGATATCTATTTCCAACTATTACGTCTACATAAGAAGCGGATTGACTTGGACCTACATGGCCTTTTTCTATCAGACTACTATAAAGCCAAACGTATACCTAGAGGGTTTAGGATTTTAAATATCCCAACCATTGGGAGAGGCAAAGCCAGAGTCTACAAGGACTGGACTTCAGTATTGAATAAAGCCTCACTTGACTTGATGCTCATTATTATACATGATGTAAAGATGGACATGGAGGACACAAGTTTGAAAATTACTGATTTAGAATTGGAACACGCAGTATTACTGGCTTCCCCTGAGGGAATCAAACTCCGTAGTAAATTACAGGATGAACTACTACTATATAAAAACGAATTGATTAAATTCAAAAAACAAAAGTTTGAACGTGTACGCCAGGATTACTTAGACCATCGTGTCTACAGATGGCTTTCAGGCGATGGTGTTCGTAAACCTTATCGCCAGAGAAAGAGGATTAGACGCCCCCAGATACCTACTGTGGACATTACATCAGGTGAATCAGCATCTGATAACGAGGTGCATGTGGAATCTACTCCTTTTTTAGAGGAATTAGAAATGGGGACCACTACAAGAAGCCGTGGCAGGGGCGTAGAAAGAGGAGGCGAACGAGGAGAGGTCACAAGGGCAAGAACCACCACCCGGGGGAAGCCCCCCTTACGGAGGTAACTCCGATATTTAATCTATCTCAGAAACCTCTGGACACACAGGAGATGGAGATCCTTAGTCGAGGACTCTCATTTATACCTACATCTCCGCCTAATCAGTTCAAATGGAATACTGAACTTTATAACTTTGGGAGACATATGCGTCTGAAAGATTATTTCCATAACCCCTCTAAAGTTTCGAATACTATTATGGATCATGAAAAAAGTTCACAATTTAAATTAAAATCTACTTTTGATCCTTACACGAATAAAGCGTCTATTAAAACCTACCTCTCTACAGTCAACCACCTCACGCAGGAAGTCATATACAACCATAAATGCAAAAATAGGAATGTCACTTCCCGACAAATGAAATATATAAAGAATTTGGCTAATGATCAGTCTCTTGCCATTCGTCCGACTCACAAGGGTGGTGGTATAGTAGTTATGGACTATGTACAATATGCAGAGGAATTAATCCAACAGCTTTCAAATGAGAAAGTATATCGATTATTGAGGGGTGACCCTACAGAATCAATCAAGAAAAATGTTGAAGCAGTTGTTATAAGGGGTATGGAAGCAGGCTTTATAGACCTACAGCTCAGTCAATATCTCCTGAAGTCACATCCTCGGACACCCATTATATATACCCTGCCCAAGATCCACAAGGATCCAATTAGACCTCCGGGCAGGCCTATTGTCTCTGTGATTGAAGGTCTGCTAGAACCAATTGCCAAGTGGCTTGATTTTTTATTTCAGCCCCCCATAGCTGAATTGAGTACCTGCATTAAGGATACACCTAGCCTCATCCAGAAATTAAAGCAACTGAAACTGAAGAGTGGTACAACGATTTTAATCACAATGGATGTCAGTAGCTTATACACGGTTATTCCACATACAGAAGGAATTGAAGCGATGAGATCTGTTCTCACTTCCTCGAAATCATATAGTGGACCACCTATTGAATTTATCTTAGAGCTACTATCACTGGTACTACATAACAATTACTTCAGGTTTGAGGACAAATGGTATCTCCAGACTTCTGGCACATCCATGGGGGCCGCTATGGCTCCCATGTATGCTAATGCCTACATGTAAGAATACGAAAAAAGATGGATCTTAACAAGGTACAGTCAATCTATACAAGGATATTTTCGCTACATCGACGATTTGTTGATACTATGGGGTGGCAACGTGACAGAAGCAGGAGAGATGATATACTTTTTAAATCAGATAGAAAGTCCCATTAGATTTACATCAAAGATTGATACCACCTCAATACAATTTTTGGACTTGGAAATCTCATTGAAGGAACAAGGACTTTCATATTGCCTCTACAAAAAAGATACGGATAAGAATACCATCCTACACAATTCAAGTGCACACCCAGAGTCCTTGAAAAAGTCTTTACCCAAGGCACAATTTCTAAGGGTAATAAGAAATAATTCAGATAAGTCTAAAATGGATCAACAACTGAAAGCCCCAAGATTTCCACACTCTGCTCTTCAACAAGACATTTATGACCCTCTGCTCAGATGGTGTCTTTTTTCTAACAAACCTGTGTCTTATCTACACTCATGTCGCTTTAAAGCCTGTATCACAACTCAACTTTGAATTCTATGTGTCGTTTTGCTCAGAAATGCTTCAGACTTGAGAAAGGGAGGTTCTCCCGAAAGCTTGTCATTAAAAAAATTCTGTTAGTCCAATAAATAAGGTATTACAAGATAAGAATTTTATCTGTTTTTTACATCTACATCACTGGACTAATACAGCTACAATATATATTATATATATACACACACACACACACACACACACACACATATCCATATATACACACATACATACATACACACACACGATGAGGATAGAGATAGATATTAAAAAACAAACAAAAAAAAACAAAAAAAAAAAAAAAAACACATTTATTTAAATTTTACATGTTTACTTTATTTTAATTTTTTTACTTTCCCACCAGCAGGGGGACTGTCTGACAATTCAGACAGTCCCCCTGCTGGCAGATCCACAGCCAGCTATAGGGGCCACGTGCTCGCTCTTTGAGAGCGATCACATGGCCCCCGGGGGCCTCATTTGCCGGGGGAGAGCTGCCTGGGCTGTCAGGCAGCCCTCCAGAAGAGGATCGCGGCGGAGGTAAGTCCACCGGATCTCCAGGGGCTGCAAGCCGTTACGGCGATCTATGCCGCCCCAACGGCTTTAAGGGGTTAAAAGAGTGCCCATAATCTCAGCTCGTTACCTGTATATACCTGTATAACCTGGGAGCCAGAAATCTTGCTGATTGATATGGGTCAAATACTTATTTCACTCATTGACATGCAAATCGTTGTATAACTTTTTTGACATGCGTTTTTCTGGATTTCTTTTTTGTTATTCTGTCTCTCACTGTTAAAATACACCTACCATTAAAATTATAGACTGATCATTTCTTTGTCAGTAGACAAACATTCAAAATCAGCAGGGGATCAAATACTTTTTTCCCTCACTGTATAGCCCGAGTCCTGCACATCCATAGCCCACCAGTTTACTACATTTGGATTAGCAGATTTAACAAAATTTATATTTAAATTGTCGTAGTCCAAAAAAAAAAAAACAAAAAAAAAAACCTGTGCATAATATACACATATAACATTGAACAGATAATAAACACCTTTATGCAGACCAGTACCCATATGAAATAATGAAAATACCCTGATTACTCTAAATCTATATTAATAAACATTTAGAAACATTCCTTCATGAAAGATTGTTTTTCCTGGCAGTTTGCCCAGAATTGTGTACAAACTGTGAAATAATTAAAATTGATCAATTAGCTTAGAGCAACTGTGATTAGGATTTGTCCTGACCAAGGTTATTGCATAAATAAAGAGAAATTAATGCATTAAAGTAGAATAAAGAGCACAAAAAAAAATAAAAACTGAATCTGATGGAGGGCTAATCGTTTATTTTACATAAAGATTAGATATTTTTAAATATCCAATGTCTATTCATGTAGCAAATGAGAACATCAGTAGCACAGTAAAGGAATATTCAGCATGAGCTTTGCTTGGGTTTGTCTAATGAAGGACTGTCCTTCAAGTGGAACGGTTACTGCATTAGAAGTGACAATTCTTCCAGTGTTCCCTGACCTCAGTAGGGAAGTATCACTACCGGACACTATAACACAATATCTCCGTGAAGAAGTTATGGTGTGATGAGGTCCTGGGCCATGTGTTATCTAAATGAGTTAAACTGTTTACAAACCCCAAACCTGCAAAGATGGCATCCGTCCACCTTGCCCAACTGCTTCCGCTGATTGTACGAGGCATCAATCAGTAAGAATCTGACATGCTAAGAGCGTAAGCTGACACTGAGCCTATCACTAGCCCGCTGTTCATAAAATGGAGTGAAAAAGGTATGGGTTGTGCTATTCAAAAAAAAATAAAAATAAATAATGAATAGCACACCATGCAAATTAAATTTACCTGCACACTGCCATGTGTATGTACAGCACTACTGAAGGAATATTAAGTGCATATCCTTACACGCCAATGGCTTTTGGGGTATCACTGGGCACCGACATTGCCATGAACTCAGTAGTGCTGCAGAGGAAAGGGTCATACTTTTTTTTTTTTTTTTACCGTTGCTTCATCAGCATTTACAGTGGTGAGAGAATGAGAAACTATTACTTGAAATGTAGTTACAGTTCCGCTGCCAGCATACTTCCCAGGTTTTGGGAGCATCTTTTACAGATATCAAACCCACCAGTACCATACGTACCTCAGAACAGGCCAAATGACGAACGTTGTTGAACCAGTCGACGTGAGCGCGGCAGTGATCGTATGCATGAATAAGTTCATGTGTAACTACACGATTCATGTGTGACTGATTCTGAATGTTGTTCTGACACAATACAATCTGCAGGATAAAAATAAAATGTAATAATAAAATCATATCAATATGCCTCAACAGGAAGTGTATGCCTTCTGTTAAAATAATTACCAATACATAGGAGGAATAAATGTCGGCAGACTAGATTTATCAAGGCAAACCCAATACTATTTTGGTTGCAAAGTGCTATTAGTATGTGTTGATTTCCATCTGAGGATTCATCACTAAACTAGGTTTTAACAAGAATTACTGATATATTACTGAAGGACTGAGCCACAGGCATTGAGGCGGCTCAATGCACAGACTAGGAATTAAAATGATATCCTTCCCTGAAACATTTTTAATTTCTGCATTTCTAGATATGTCACTAGCACAATGTAAAGATATAATTGTATTACAATTACCTAAAGGAGAAATTACCATTTACACATTTGTGGGCAAGAGACTGAACCTATAAGACATGTAACAACCCAGTAAAGTGTCAATAACAACTCACTAAATACTAATTATCCAGTTGATGGGAATTTAAAATGCACCCAAAGTGGATTTTAAGATTTAGGCTAAAGTAATCTAGATTACTAATATTCCCAGTTTGGCTTTTCCCCCCAAAAATTTGATAAACTGCATAACCTCACAAGTCTTGGTTGTAAATGGATTTAGTATAGCGTGTAGTAGAGTACAGTTATACAGAGAGCTATATTGTGTGGTTACCAACCTCAGATGAAGCTGCATCGAACCCTCCACTCACTGCACCATCACATTCTTCACAAGAAAAATGACGGTCTTTGTAAACTGTGCTGAAACGCACAAAATAAGGGGTCAAACATCAACACAATTTCGGTTATTGCTTTATTACTAAACATTCAAATCCAACCTAATTATTCAAGAATTATACTGAAAAGACACCCTGCAGGACTCTAAAAGGCACCTAGCCCGCAGGTGGCCATTCAACAGTTTTACCAACAACTCCCATAGCAGACTGTACCCAGCCACATAATGACAGAGGATTAAACATACATGTTCTTGACTTCTTAGAAATTATTTTTTAATGATACAAAAACAGAACAGGTTGTCTGGTTAGCTTTATTCAATAATTGATTTTCTTCACTAAACCAGGTACAATTTGGCCAAGAGTATTGTAAATGTCAGACCTATATAGCCTAAATAGAAAAAGGATCTTGCCGTCTTGGCCTACAATTTGAGATTCCGTTTCACACTGTCAGAAATTCCCAGTTTAGCAAGCAGGCATTATAGGGTCAAGAGAATAAGGCATACAACAGGACAGCTGCTTTTTTCTTGTAACTGTTTTGTAATACATTAGAAGGTACACTCTACTGTAGTGCACTGTATCGGTTATGCTTCCTGGCACCTACCCATAGTAATGAAAAACAATTAGTGTACGTAGCGTTTAACTGCAGGGGGTTTAACGCTGAATGCAAATAAAATCTCTGTAGTAAAATATCGATGTATGTGTAAACAAAGAATTAAAGTATAAACCGTAAACCCACCAATATTATCGTGGGTGTACTGACCGAGAGAGTGGAGACCACAGCCCCAAAGTTTCAGCTTGACACCTTTCTCATGAGGTTTCAAGTTGGCTATACCCTGTCTGCCTTTTTTATACCTATTACACATGTGTAGATAATGTTACAACTAAAAAGGGATGGAACCTCGGATTTCAGTAATAATCGTGTGTAAAACGATTTGACTTCAGGCCTATTGTCCTTCTGTTGCTGATCTCCATTTCCAGAGACAGAGAGCTGGAAGCAGTACAGGACTGAGCTCATTAGTTAAGGGCATCATCTAACTGCTCTCAGCCACCACTAGGCTGCATTGCCAGGCTTAGTTCAGACAGAGAACTTATCAGATGTGGTGGAGGCAGACCCAGGTAAGGTGACAGAGCACTATTGACTCCATAACCACTACATGGCTCTGTAGTAGTTATGGTGTCTGGAGAGTTCCTTTAACGATAGGTGGAAAAAGATCTCTCCAGTTATTATTTAGTTCCAATGTTACAATAGTCACATGTAGAGTTATAGATCTACATTTAAAACACACATGACCACCAAGCTTGTAAGTGCAGATGGAAATTTAAAGACTGAAAAAGACTTACCAACCAGACGACTTCATAGCATCCATAAGCAACTTGGCATATGGGTCTACAAAATAAAAGATCTTCATTTAAAACAAAAGTGAATATTATTCCAACTGCATTTTACACAAAATGAATAAAGTAAAATGTTAAAACTTAGCACAACATACAGATGACACTAAGCACTACAACAACTACAGCCCATTATTGTCATTATGGATCTCTCAAGCTACTGGTGCAGAGTCAAACTTCCACAATACCAAAGGCAAATTGTGTTAAAAATTGGACAACACTGATTGGCTGATCAGCTGTCACACTTGTTAAGCAATTCTACCCACATTTTCATAAAATTGTTTTTTTTTATTCTTGCAATTGAGAGGTTAGGATAGGAATCCAGTGGGAAATATATATATATCTCCATTCTAATATTTAAAAGAAAAAATTTATGCATATATATTAAACCAAGGCAGTTGTGTCCTGGTCTGCAACAGCACATGGAAGACATGACACAATAACAATAAACCAGGGGTGTTTAAAATGTAGATCCCTGGATGTTTTAAAACAACAGCTTCCATGATGCTTTGCCATCCTAAGCACTCCAAAAGGCATGCAAAGCATCATGGGAGTTGTATTTCTTTTTTCTTTGCAGGGCAATAACAGCATTCATGCTTGTCATGCCCCAATGTTGAGTAACAAACAATTGTATTTACAAAATTGTATCACTGTAGGCAAGAGAAAACGGGCACTTTTTTTTTTTTTTTACAATATAGTAATAATATCACAGTTAAATAGCATATCTAGAAGGATATTTCTCTCTGGTTTCTTAATCTAAATTTATGACCTAAGCAAGCAAAGTGAATGAAGAAAACCTTCTGCAGCTGTAAACATCAGTTTCAGTGAAACAGCCACTAGAGGCGTGAGAAGACGCCGGCGTCCATAGTCCTGTCACCCAGTCCTGTCACCCCCTCTTCCCCTCCAGGCCCTGTCATTCCCCTCCCCCCCCCCCCCAGGTCATGTCACCCCTTTCCCCAGCCCTGTCACCCCCTCCCCAGCCCTGTCACCCCCCCTCCCAGCCCTGTCACCCCCCCTCAGCCCTGCCCCCCTCAGTCCTGTCACCTCAATCCTGTCACTCCTCACCTCCCTCCCCTCAATCCTGTCACCTCCCCAATCCTCCCCAGTCCTGTCACCTCCCCAATCCTGTCACCCCCCCTCAGTCCCCTCTCCTCCCTCTCCCTCATCACCTCTCCCCCAGGTCCTGTCAGGTCATCACCCTCTCCCCAGGTCCTGTCATCACCCCCCCCAGGTCCTGTCCCCAGGTCCTGTCATCACCCCTCCCAGGTCCTGTCATCACCCCCCCAGGGTCCCAGGTCCTGTCATCACCCCTCTCCCCAGGTCCTGTCATCACCCCTCTCCCAGGTCCTGTCATCACCCTCTCTCCCCAGGTCCTGTCATCACCCCTCCTCCCAGGTCCTGTCATCCCCCCTCTCCCCGGTCCTGTCATCACCCCTCTCCCCGGTCCTGTCATCACCTCTCCCCGGTCCTGTCATCACCCCTCTCTCCCCCAGGTCCTGTCATCACCCTCTCCCCCCCCCCCGGTCCTGTCATCACCCCCTCTCCCGGGTCCTGTCATCACCTCTGGTCCTGTCCATCACCCTCTCCCCTGTCACCCCCCAGGTCCTGTCACCCCTCTCCCTCAACCCCCCTCTCCCCCTCAATCCCTGCCCCCCTCTCTCCCCAGTCCTGTCACCCCCCTCTCCCCCCCAGTCCTGTCACCCCCCCCCTCTCCCCCCAGTCCTGTCACCCCCCCCAGTCCTGTCACCCCCCTCAGTCCCTGTCACCTCCCTCAGTCCTGTCACCTCCCTCCCTCTCTCCCCCCTCATCCCACCTGTCACCTCCCCTCTCCCCCTCCTGTCCCTCCCTCTCTCCCCTCAATCCTGTCACCCCCCCTCTCCCCCCCAGTCCTTTCACCTCCTCCTCTCCCCCCCAGTCCTGGTACACTTACTGGTCTCCAGCGCTATGTTCAGCATAACTTGGCATTTCCTGTGTTTAGTAAATATGCTGGGCAGTGTGAAGCCCTTTTTCCGCTCCCCGCTATGTCTCTCCGGGAACAGGTGGTATCCATGGTCTTCCTCCGCCTGACTCCCCTCCATGCTGTGCTCCTAGCTGACCCTGCCAAGGAGGCCGCCATGTACGCACACGCCCACCGCGCAGAGCTCCAAACACTGGAGAGACCTGAACTCACACCTGGCGGGCAGAAACTTATGAAATGGTCTCCACAATAATGGACGGTGTTCTATCAAAATCCCCTACCCTCGTCACTTCCGGTGAGGGGAATCAGCTGGCTCCTGTGCGGACAACGGCATCTCAGAGACGGGGGATAGGATACGTTCCATCTCGTGTATTTAGAACTCTACGGAAGTGACGTCCGCCTACGTCAGTTTTGCTGATGCTTGAGCAGACATCTTTGTTTTGGATATAGCGATTAAAGAATAAAAATGAAATTGTCCTGTGATAGGGTATTGAAGTAGTTGGCTGCTCATTTCCCAGCGTGCTTTGCGTGTTGTTATTAGGACTGCATGTTGGAGGGGGCGGGGGCGGGGGCGTGGCTGACTGACGGCAGGGGGCGCTGTGTGGAAGGATGTAGTGCTCGATGTACCAGGCCAAAGCGGCTTCTGGTATCTATGACTACCGCGCACGGCATGCTGGGACTCGGTGCTGGAGAGCTGGAAGTGGAGGAAGTAGGAGGTAAGTGCTGGGGAGGTTATAGAATACCGGGGGAGGTAGGTGCTCACAGGAGAGGTAGGTGCTCACAGGGGAGGTGTCTGATAGCAGAGCCTCCAGCTCCACTCTGTGTACTGCCCATAGCATCACACCATGAGAACATCACTGCTCACCATCACACCATAACAACAACACTGCTCACCATCACACCATGAGAACATCACTGCTCACCATCACACCATAACAACAACACTGCTCACTATCACACCATGAGAACATCACTGCTCACCATCACACCATAACAACATCACTGCTCACTATCACACCATGACAACATCACTGCTCACCATCACACCATAACAACATCACTGCTCACCATCACACCATAACAACATCACTGCTCACTATCACACCATGAGAACATCACTGCTCACCATCACACCATAACAACAACACTGCTCACTATCACACCATGAGAACATCACTGCTCACTATCACACCATAACAACATCACTGCTCACCATCACACCATAACAACATCACTGCTCACCATCACACCATAACAACATCACTGCTCACCATCACACCATAACAACAACACTGCTCACTATCACACCATAACAACATCACTGCTCACTATCAC